GCTTGCAGAATATAAAACCACATTTAAAACAATAAAACTAATAAAAAGAATCATATAAAGTATAATATAATAAAATCACCCCTCACCCACCCACCACAACTGAACCCAACATTGATGATGCTAAGTGAGAAATTTGTTAAGTGAGTTTTGTCCCATTTTATGACTTTTCTTGCCACGTTTGTTAAGTGAATCACTGCAGTCAATTTAATAACATGGTTATATTTCCGGTGCTATTGTAACTTCGAACAGTCATTAAATGTACTGTTGTAAGTCAAGGATTACCTGTATAGGGCTTCGCTTATGTATTCAGGCACAATCAAAAACAGGACACTAAATAAAATGAAGCAGTTAAATTTCTCTCCGATAGAGATGACATATTTTACACACAAACAGAGCAGTATGATAATTTTTTTCCTGCTGAATAACCACAATTATAAGACATTTTTTGTGAACCATTGATTTCTGTCTAATGTTTAACACAGGGTGGGATTCAAAATTTTTAACAACCAGTTCTGTGGGCGTGGCTTAGATGGTGGGCATGGCTTAGGTGGTGGGCGTGGCTTGGTGGTCATGTGACTGGGTGGACATGGCTTGGTGGTCATGTTATTGGCTGGATGTGGCCAAGTCAATATCACTCACATCGAGGCATGCATCTCCTCGCCTGGCCTCTCATGTTGCAACAGTCGTAAGTGTGGAAAATGGTCATAAGTCACTTTTTTCAGTGCCATTGTAACTTTGAATGGTCACTCCATACAAGCAAAGTACCAGCAAAGGAGGGGAAAAAAAACTCCAGAGAAGTTCCTGAGACAGGAAGTCTAGTCCTGCCAAGAATGTAATAAGGGTTAACGGAGAGGCAGTTTCTGTAAGCAACACCAAAATGTTTCCTTCCTGTATTTCTTACAGGATTAGGCCAGTAATTTCTTCTAACAACCGGTTCTCCAAACTGCTTAGAATGTTAACCGGTTCTAGCAAACTGGTAGAATCCCACCTCTGGTTTAACACACGATACAATATGTTTAGTTTAGTATTATTTTTGTTTGTTCTGTTTAGATTGTATTAGTTTTGTGCATTCACTGTTACTCTTTTGTAATTTTTTTTTGTAATCTTGTTATACATTAAAATTAAAAACGCAATTCTGAATTAGCCTCTGACTTTTGTTCTCATAGATTATGATCTGCTGCAATATTTTGTTACTGGATGTTCTTGTACTGAATTATACTTAACATGTCTAAGTGGATACTTCAAATATTTAATTAAATAAATCAAGATTTAAATATTCAAAGATTTTTTTTGCTGCTGAAGTGTATACAACAGTATTTCATTGCAGACCACTGCAATTACTTTTCTGATGCCTTCTTTGCTTATGTTAGCAGTGATTCACCCAATTCAAACCTCAGATTCACAGATCTAGTTAAAAATGTCACTGTGCCATAAGTTGGAAACAGAAGTGAATCAGAAATAGCCTGCAAAAATGCTAGGACAGTAAATGTCAGTTTACTCTTTTTACAAACATTAAGTCTAGAAGTGCTGTAATAGAATGAATTTTGTCAAAGAGTAAACTTATTAAATTATAAAAAAAAAAAACATTCAGAATTTGAAGGTAGGCAATTTCATGCTAATATATGAATAGTGCCATGAAGAGCTATTTTCAAGATCTGGATTTCAAACATATTAACCTGATTTCCAATTTTAAAGTGAAGCATTTTCACTTTAAAATTTAAAAACTGAAATACTTTCCCCCTCAAAATCATTAAACTTTATTGAATGTGTGTGTGTCTGTCTGTCTGTCTGTCTATCTATCTTCTTACATAGTTGCTAGGATTACAAATTTCTATTAAAACCTGAGATCTTTTGACCAGCATTTTCTCCTAAAACCTGCAGTTTTACAGGATCTTTTCTTTTCCCTCTTTTCTTACAATTTTGGGAGTAATGGGATATGCCTTACCTGCCATCCACTATGCCTGTAGGTTCTGCCAGATGTTGGTGTTCCTGTCTCCATTTCCATGCTTCATGGGCATAAAAATATCTGGCTAATAGAGTGTGTTAAATCTTAGTCTTTAACCCCAGCCATCCCATCAGATCCATAGCTGGAGCCTGATGTCATCAAATTCTAAGTTCTGTCACTATATTCTTAACAATTATCTAGCAGCTCTTTGTTGTCAAGGATATTGATGCATTCCAGAAACATGGAGAATTTCAGCCCAAGATCTTCAGGTCAGGTCCATCCCCGGTATGTCTTTAACTCTCTGAGGTCTTGCTTCATATGATTTTATTAGCTTCACATACTATCCAACAGGATTCTTTTTATTCCACCTGACACATTTATTGTATTGATTATAGTAATAATGCCTCATAAATGTGTCTAGAAAGCCATGGAGAAGTTGGCATATAGGAAGCAGAGAAGAGCTAAATTGCAAATGATCAAGCACCACCAACAGTTCTCTCCTTAAATATCTCCCTCCAGAGAGAGCTGTTGTTTTTAATTAAGAACAAAGATTTAATGACACACCACACAGAGACTAATAAACTCAAGAAGTCTCTATATTATATATTTTGCAAAAAGCACAAATCACAGCTTGTAAACAGGTATACATGCACAACCACTGAGAAGCAATAGTTTTTGGTACTGTACCCATCATGAATATCCAGGCTACTTGCTAGAATGACAAATATTTTACTTACCTCCTTTTAATGTCACTATCAGGGAAGTTAATAATTCTTCCTATAATTCTGATGAGTGTTATTTAGCAGGGCTTATTAGAATATTCACTACCACTTAACATAATTGCCTTTAGTAGTTTATTATCCCAATCAGGATTAAAAGACTTCCAAGCTGTTTTTATAAACCTATTTTCTAATTTAAAAAGGAAGTGGAGGGAAAGCAACAGAAAAGCCAGCTAGCTCTTAAAGTCACAACTGTTTTAACAGGTAAGGGAAGAAAAATGTGGATAATTCAATATAGGTAGTCCTCAACTTACAACAGTTCAGTTAGTGACTGTTCAACGTGACAATAGCATTGAAAGAAGTGACATAACCATTTTTCACACTTACAACCGTTCCAGCATCCCGGTGGTCATGTGATCAAAATTCAGATGTTGGCAACTGACTCGTATTTATGATGGTTGCAATGTTCCAGGATCATGGATCAACTTTTGTGACCTTCTGACAAGCAAAGTCAATGGAGCAGATTCATTTAATAACTGTGGCAAGAAAGGTCATAAAAGGGGGGAAATGCACTTAATAACAGTCTCACTTAGCAACAGAAATTTTAGGCTCAATGGTGGCAGTAAGTTGAAGACTAACCGTAGAATGGATATGCCCTTTGACATGAGAATGTACAAGCAAAAGTAGCTGATCTACACACAGTAGAAGCAAGTGAATAGACTTGTTTCATCTACACCTCAGCTTGATGATGATTAAAAAAACAGCTTAGAAACATTTTGTTACAAAACAGAACTCATTTTTTTTTTCTTGAAGCTTAACAGAATGACTATTAATAATAATAATTTATTGCATTTATATGCTGCCCAACTCTCAGCAGCTCTGGGCCACTTGCAGTCATTAAAATATTTAAAAACAAAGTAGAAATGAGTTATTGAACTCTTTACAATCCATTACAGCTAGTTATGGGATAGACAAAAATTAGCGTTTGAGTGGATTTTTCTATTATCTTGAACTATGATACATTTTTATATGATTTAAATATAGGATAAATACAGAGGATATTAGTATTCGTATTGTAGAGAACCCCCAGAATCAGAAATAACCTTTTAAATAATAGATGTACAAGTAGTTCTTGACTTAAGACCACAACTGAGCCCAGAATTTCTGTTAAGTGAGACATTTGTTAAATGAGTTTTGTCCCATTTTACGACTTTTCTTGCCATAATTGTTAATCATTGCAGTTGATAAGTTAGTCACCTGGTTGTTAAGTGAATCTGGCTTCCTCATTGACTTTGCTTGTCAGGTCACAAAAGGGGATCCCATGAGCCCGGGACATTGCAACTGTCAAAAATACATGCCACTTGCCGAGCATCTGAATTTTGATCACATGTCCATAGGAATGCTGCAAAAGTCCTAACTCTGAAAGAGTCACAAGTCACTTTTTTTCAGTGCCATAACTTTCACTAAATGTGAAAGTTACTAAATGTGATCACTAAACTGTTGTAAGTCAAGGGCTACCTGTATTTCCTTATACTTAGGATATATTAGATATCTCATGATTTATGTTGATTGCTTTAGTATCCTATGACTATCACTGAGTGTTTTATCTATGATTTATCATTGTATTTATGATATGTTGCTTGCACGTTATGCATCTGAGACAAATTCCTTTTGTGTATCCAATCACATTTTGCCAATGAAACATTCTTTTTTTATCTTTCTTTTCTTTCTCTTCTTTCCTTCCTTTCTCTTCCTCTCTCTCTCTCTCTCTCTTCTAAAAGTGGTTGTGGGATTCCAAACAATTGAAATTCAGGAAATGGACTAGTGCTGGTTTCAGCAGATCCGTGAAGCCTGTGCCATATTTGTTTATGTGTTAAGAATTACATGGGGGGGGGGGATTTTTTTTTAAAGCAAACATAGGACTTTTCAGGCGTCCAGTTCCCCCCTCGCTTTTTTTGTCGGACAATATGTGGCCATACGCATAATATTCTTTCGAAAGCTGAATGCAACGAAATTTCATTTTAATAGATGGCGATTAGCATGCATTTAAAGCGTGAATAGTTTTCTTCCATTAGCGCGATTTCTAAAAGGCCACTGGTCGCTCTTCCGGAGCACCCCGGAGCGGGTGGGGGGGGGGACTCTTTATGAGGTTGCACCTTCCCTACGAGAGCGGCCGTCGCTTAGCAACGGCTCTCAGGCCTCTCTCTCCTCAGCCCTTCGCGACTTTCCCCGCTGACTCCGCCCGCCGGCCTCTCCTCCTCCTCCTCCCTCACCCGCCTCTTTCTCGCGAGGCTTCCTCAACTCTCGCGACAGCTCCGCGTCGCCATCTTAAGTTATTCTGGCGCGGTGATCTCAGTAGTTGCTGCCGCCGACGAGGAGTGAGTGGGGGGGGGAGAGAGAGCGTGTGTGAGAGAGAGGGGAAAAAAAGCGCGTAAGCGGCGGCCTTGGCAAAAGCCGTGGATCTCGAGGCTCTGCCACGGAGCGGAGTTTCGTTCTCTCTCTCTCTCACGCCACACGCACACAAACCCGGCCAAGGTGGTTAGGCGTCCGGCAGCTGCCGACCCTGCGGCCGGCCCGCTTGTTGGCGAGGAGTGTCGCGTCAACTGTCGCTGCTGCGGTCCCGCCCCCTTTCTTGGTTGGGGCCCCGGGCCCCTCGCGGCCGCCACCTCTGCTGCCACTGCTGCTCGGGGAGGCGGGGCTGGGGCCGCTCTGGATGGTGGTTAAAATGATCATAGAAAACTTCGAGGCGCTGAAATCCTGGCTCAGCAAAACCTTGGAGCCCATGTGAGTAAACCCAGCCAAGCCGCTCCACCCACCCCATTTGAGCCCCCTTATAAGGGGCTCGCGTGGGTGCACCCGGACACTCGTGTGTGTATGTGTGGGGGGGGTGTCTATATGGTGTTTATGTGCGTCCCTGGAAAAGGAGGCTGGGATCTGCCCCTGGGAGAACTCAATGACCCCTGCTATCCAGTTGAGGGGTGATGAAAGGCCTGGAGACTAAAACATAGGAAGAAAGGTTGCAGGATTTGGGTTTGCCTAGTCTAGGGAAAAGAAGGACTTGGGGAGACCCGTCTAGAGGAAAGACTAGGGAAAACGTCTAGGGAAAAGGACTAGGAGGGATTAGTGTAGAGAAAGGCTGGAGAAAGAAAAGACTAGGGAAAAGGACTAGGAGGGATTAGTGTAGAGAAACGTCTAGAGAAAAGATATCTAGGAAAAAAGGACTAGGGGAGACCAGTTTAGAGGAAAGATTAGGGGAAAGGACTAGGGACTAGTTTAAAGAAAAGACTAGTCTAGGGAAAAGAAAGACTAGGAGGGATTTGTGTAGAGAAAGGTCTAGAGAAAAGACTAGTCTAGGAAAAAGGAGTAGGGGGACAGAATAGCAATATGCCAGTATTTGAGAGGCTGCTACAAAGCGGAGGGGGGTCAATTTATTTTCCAAAACACCAGAAGGCAGGACAAGAAACTATGGAAACTAATCAAGGAGGGAAGCAACCCGGAATTAAGGAGAAACTTCCGAACAGTGAAGACAATAAACCAGTGGAACGGCTGGCCTTCAGAAGTTGTGGGTGCTTCATCACTGGATGTCTTTAAGAAGAAACAGGACAGCCACTTGTCTGAAATGGTATAGAGTCTCCTGCTTAAGCAAGGGGCTGGAGTAGAAGACCTCCAAGGTCCCTTCCAGCTCTATTTTAATTCATTCTAAGGAAGTTCCCCTCTCCTTCACATGCAGGGTTTGTATTCAAATGTGAGGATGTTTAATTCTACCCCCTTCCCCCAATCTCTTCTTTGAGACCCTGTTTCATATGGATGCGTAGGTATAAAGTGGTGGGGAGGGTGATGTATGAAGGTTTTAGATAACCCCACTGATCAACTGTGACAACATTGTTCAGCTCATTCAAAAAATTTACCTGCTTATGTCAAAATTAAACTGCAGATTAATGCATTGGTTGGAATTATGTAAGAAATCTTTACACCTGGTACTTCAGTATATTTTCATGGAGTGATGTTCTAAGGCTCCAAAGCTACTCCACAGGATACACCAAAATAGAATAAAAGGAACATTAGGAAAGCCAGATTAAAAAAAAAAAGAGCAAAACATGCAGATTGACTGACATTTTATCTCAAACTATTTCCTTATTACCACAATGCCACCTAAACCAAAAAGGATGACCCAGGTGTTTCCCTTCTGGATCATCTAAGTGGCAGAAGCAGGCTTGGTCAAAGGAATTTATTGCTATTTATTGCATTTATTGCTATTTCAAAGATTATTTCTATGTACTTGTAGCAACATGGATCTTTGCAAACCAACACATTTTCACAACTGAGAAGCAGCAAAAATCTAGTTGTAATGAAAATCAAGCAGGACCATGGTGTCAAAACTATAGAAAACATTGGGTAATTGCTTTGAAATAGCAATAAATGATATAATTCCTTTGACCTCCTGCTGACATTTAGATGAACCAGTTCCTTTACTCCTGGATCATCTAAGTGTAGAAGCAGGTTTGGTCAAAAGAATAATACCATTTATTGCTATTTCAAAGCGTGTGATTACCCAATGTTCTATAGTTTTGACACCATGATCCTGCTCGATTTCCATTACTACTGGGTTTTTGCTGCTTCTCAATTGTGAAACTCTTGTTAGTTTGCAAAGATACATGTTGCTACAAGTACATAGAAATAATCTTTGAAATAACAATAAATAGCAATACATTCCTTTGATCAAGCCTGCTTCTGCCACTTAGATGATCCAGGAGGGAAGCACATGTGTCATTCTTGTTGGTTTTAGCTGGCAATTGTGATAATAAAGAAATAGTTTGAGATAAAACATGTCAATCTGCATGTTTTCCTTTTTCAGTTGGCTTTCCTAGTGTTCTTTTATTTTGGTAGATCCTGCAGAGTTACTGGCTCTCTGGTAACTTCACCAGAGCCTCATAAAAGCAATCAATGACAAATATACTGAAGAAACCATCTGTAGATATTTCTTTCTATATGACTAGGAAACACATATGTGTAAAGATATTAAGTGAGTTTTGCCTTATTTTATTACCTTTCTTGCTACCGTTGTTAAGTGAATCACAGCAGTTGTTAAAATAGAAACATGTTTAATGAATCTGATTTCCCCTTTGACTTTGCTTGTCAAGGTCTCAAGAGGTGATCACATGACCATGGGACACTGCAACAGTTATAACTATGAGCCAGTTGCCAAGCATCCAAATTTTGATCATATGACCATGACGTTGATGCTGCAACGGTCGTAATAGTGAAAAACAGTCGTAACTCATTTTTTTAGTGCTGTGGTCCCTTTGAATGATCGCTAAATAATGATTGTAAGTCAAGGACTATCCGTATCAGGGGTCGCCAACCTTTTGGACCTCAGGGACCACCAAACTCATGACCACTAATATAGTTTTTTTTTTAAAAAGATACATTTGTAAAATAATGATCAGAGAACTTCTGTTTTATTAATATGAAATGCACCTATTTAATATAACAAAATGCAAAATATAACAAAATTTTAATATAACAAAATTAATATATTTAATATATGCTTGTTTAATTATAACAAAATTGTAAATGCTTAATAGCTTGAAATACTCCCATCTCTAACTGAACTGAATTAATGCTTGTGCGGGGGACATTTCTCTGGACCACCAAAATTTTCTCGTGAACCACCAGTTGGTGACTTCTGATCTGTACAGTAATTGAGACTTTCGCTTTTCTTCAATCAATCAATCAATCAGAATAGAGCTGGAAGGGACCTTGGAGGTCTTCTAGTTCAGCCCCTGCTAAAGCAGGAGACGCTCTCCCATTTTACACAATATGGTCATCCAGTCTCTTCTTAAAAACCTCCAGTCTTCTTCAGAATTCAGTTTAGTACATGATTTGATCTGACTTTGGGGGGAGCCTATATATGAATTTAGTTAGTTCTAATTTGCTCATTATATATTTTCTGTGCATGCATGTGTTATGTATATTAAAGTAACTTTTAAATACCACATGTTGAGATGACTTTTTTATTATCAGTCTTCACAACTGTTTGTGAAGAACAATGGCTGCCCTAATGCCATTTATCTTTCATCAGGCTGAAGGTTTTCTTCATCCAGCAGCAAATCAGCTACATTTACTGCAAAAATAAGTTTTGATGTATCATTCTGAATAATCTTTCCTATTGTTTTCTGTCTTTCTCCCAAGCTGGAAATGTCTCTGGAGATATTATCCATGCAGGCTGGGCAAACAATTTTTGTATTGTTAAAGTGTTGATTTATTTCTCTGCTCCTTGGGGTGTTTCATTTCTATCTGATTTGAACTTGTGCTTTGGCTTTTTTCAAATTATTTTTTTGAGGGGGGGATTTTCTCCTTTGGCATCATGTTCTTTATTTGTTAATATTGGATGGTTGAATATTTTCATTATATGTAGACATTGTGGAAAAAAGCTCATTAAAATACTGTGTTCTTTATGCTTGTTAAATGCCTTGGGATTTTGTAAATCATTATAAAGGGAATATGAGTAAGACAATACTTTAATTGTAACTCCTTTTGTATCTTTGGGAAATAAAAGTGGTACAGTGTAGGTGAAAATATAATAAAAAAAGGAAAAGCCAGTAACATTGGAATCAAAATTCCACTGAAAATATGAGAAAACAATAAAAAAACAGGGAACCATAAAAAATGAGATTATAGTAAGCAAAAAAAGTACTTACGAATAATATCTAGAGATAGATCAAAAGATCTGTAACAGCATTGAATTTGAGAATGAGTAGCAAGGTTTCAAAATGAAATTCCCGTTTTCAGAAAATATTTTATATACTCTCAAGATAGTTCTTAAGATCAAATTCTTTTAGCTGTTTGGAGATTTTAGCAGTAGAGCACAGCTATTGTTGACTAAAAATTGATATAGTATTGCCTGGGATAGTCACCCTCATGCAGCTTCAAGAAGGATGCTAATGGAGCAGGGAGATCAACCAGTCAGATTAACCCTAGGGATCAGTGGAGTGACAAATGTTGATGCCAGATAGTCTTACAACAGCTTTTACATTTATTTATGGGGAGATAGTATGGCTGATCCATTCAGAAGAATTCTGGTATGCTTTGGGATCCCTCAAATGACAAGAATAATCAACCATTAATAACTGAATTGATTCCTTGATACTCCCAACATTTCAGTGGTGCATTTCAAAATAGCTTACCACCATTTGGTTGGTGTGGCTTGGTGGGCATGCTTAGCATGCACACGCACTTTGCGTGCACGCACCAAACACGCATTTTGCACACACGCAGAGGCTTTCTGACTCATCCCCTGCAATCCTGCACTCTCACTGTCGCTTCAGCAGCTGATGCGTGGCAATCTGCTATGCTGCGCAAAGCAGCTGCACTTCAAAAGCAGGGAATAAAGGTCAGTGGCGGAGCCTGGGCAGGTGGGTGGTTCCCAACAGCAGCTCCTCAAAGAAAACCAGTTCGGTTTCCGCTGATCTTCGACGCTACCGGTACGCCAGAACCGGGGCGAACCGGTAGAATGGCACCACTGCAACATTTATACTTAATATCAGAAATTTTAAAAAAAGTGTGCAGACCAGAGAATTGGGTACACGTGTAGCAATTAGAGCCAGAAATTGAACTGTGCAGCTATTACCTATTTTGTTTCTTTTCCGCATTTATTTATTCTGTTGATTAACTTGTTGATTAAGCTGTTCATTGACAAGTTGTCAATGAAGTAGTGAAGAAACTTTTCATATAAATGAATTTTTGGATACCAATGTATTTTTTACACCAGGAGTAAACAGATTTTCCATGCCTATCAATTAACAAACGTCAGAGCTTACTTAATTTTCAGACATTTCATTTTCATGCATGTTCATTCATACACATTGATTCATAAACTTCAGAACTTAATAGAGCGACATACTGTAGTTGCTCAGCTCCAATTGGTTGCAACTTAAGTGATGGACCTCTAGATCCTGTGAATTACAATTTCCAGTATGTCCTAAAGAATTGCCTGAGAAAGGCAATAATAGCAAGCCACTTCTGAAAAAGCTTGCAAATAAAACTGCAGAACTTATCCAATTTCTGAGAATTAGACATGATTGAATGGAAGGGCAAAAACAGCTAGTGATACAAAATGTTGGAAGCTGTAAGTCAGCAAGACTTGAAAGAGCATAGATTTATCAGTATGGTTAGTTAAAATTGTAATGGAACGACACATATATTTGAAGTTATTTTATGAGGCTTTTTCAAATAGTTTAATTTGAAAAAAGTATATATTTGAAAAAACTTCTTTCAACTTAGACATGTTGGAATTTATCAGACACTTTTGACAAAGTTCATATTAGAAATGTAATAAACTGCAGGTATTAGTTTTAAGGAGTATTATGTCAGAAAATGAAGTCATTTACAAATTGAAGTTAAATCTTACCTGGTATTTTCCTTTATTTTCAGTTGAAATCAGTCATATTCATACATCATGCTATGGTTAGTTGTACTTATGGCTTTGCCTGACTCATTTCATTTAAAATTCAATCTGAAAATAAAAGAATGTATTTATAATTTATTTGCATTATAATGTGCAAAGTATATATCAGATAATTTGGACGTACACCAATAAAGCTTTACTTTTTAAAAATACTAACCTAAAAACTTTAAGATCTATAAGCTTATGTTCTGTAGTCTTTAATTCAACTCCAAATTAAAGAGAAAAAAAAGCCCTGAAGTACATTTATGTCATTTAGATATAGAAGGAATTTAGACTATAACCTTATGTTAAATGTTTAACATAAATCTTGTATTAAATATTGCTTCTTTGTTATAACTGCTTTTTCCCGAAAGGATATGGTCCAGGAGATACCATTAAAGTATTGTAAAGTTAATTTTTAATTTAGAAGAACATGCAGCTTTCCAGATATCTCTGATATATTTGAAAATGCTTCCATTTTTTTGGAAGTCACCTTTGAAGTCTGCTTACTCATGACTTTAATATTAGTGGGTTGATGGAATCTTTGTAAGATACATTGAGAACATTGTGTTTCTCAGTTGAAACATTAATATAAAACAAAAATGTTCAATCTAAACTAAGTATTATTGTCATCCCATCAACATTCGAAGAAGTTTTTGATTAGGAAAAATATCTGGAGATACTATATTCACTGATGGCTAAACTCCTTATTGTGACTACAGAAGTGCCGTGCTGCCTTTCACATTTACATTACTTTGATAAAAGCCTCTCCATAATTCAGCATCCTAAGTAATCTTTAAGTGTACATCTCTTAAGCTTACAACTTTCTTGAAGAAGTAAAATAAAATTGAATGGTTCTTTGGTATGTATTTCTGATGAGGGGGGCTTTGGAACTAAAGTACTTTTGCTTTTCTTTCTGCTCCTTTAAATGTTTACTTACTACAGAAATAATTGCTAGATATATAATAATACATACTAGTAGAATAAATTCTATAATAGTGCTCAGTTGAAAGAAGCTTTTAAAAAAGTATTGTTTAGTAGCAAGGGTAGGAAAAAGTAAAGTATATATTTGGAATAAAATTCAACACTGAGGGAATAGCTAAATACATTATGACTATAAATTAAACCTGATTTTGTTAAATATAATTTGCATCAAAACATTACACATATGTTCGAATATGTCGAATATGTTCGACATAATTATTACCTGGAAGTGAGGTTTAAAAATACCTTTATGAATTAGTTGTGTTCTTCATTTGTAGATGTGATGCGGATCCATCAGCTCTTGCTAAGTATGTTCTTGCTTTGGTAAAAAAAGATAAAAGTGAGAAAGAACTTAAAGCACTATGTGTGGATCAACTGGATGTATTTCTTCAGAAGGGTAAGTTCTTGAAAATTTAAAGCTTCAGGACCTAATTTCAAATTCTAATCTCATTTAAGATTTAATCCACTTTAATTACAAGTTGGAAATTATTTTACCAATGCCTTCATTCCCCATAGATATATAAAAACTACAGTATGACATAAGCTTTTAACTGATTGATGTTTGAATGCTGCTCTTGCAAATGTTCACCATGAGGTTTTCTTTTGGATTCTCCAAATAATATGTTTTGAAAAGTTATGAGACAGCTGCCTAGAATAAAAATGAACAACTTTCAGGCAATTAGTATGCGTTTCTTCCTTCCCTTGACTGTTCAGAATGGACCTCTTTCCACCTCTTAAGTATTCTAAAACATTGCTTTTGCTTGAAAACATCATTGCCTAAGTATAGCAATAGCATTTAGACTTATATACCATTTCACAGTGCTTTTTTTTTTGGAAAAAGTTTTTTATTTTTAAAATTTTATACAAGTTTTCACGTGAGCAACATGTTTCCAGATTGTAACACTTGTACGTAGTCATATTTTCATTTCCATTAATCTTATATAATATTAACTCATATTATTATCCATTTCATTCATCTTTAAATAAATTTGCAATTCATATTTCAGTTCATTAATTCAATATCATTTCATCCATGCATAAGTTTCAGTTCTTTATTATTTCCATTTTCAGCTTACCACCTATTTTATTTTATATTATACATTATTGTCCTTAATTTTCTCTAAGCTGATACATAATAAACAATCTAAAAAGAGTAAAAATATAATAAAACCAATGTATTTAGGATCCACATGGTATTTTCCATTCCCCTACTTTAATCATAATAAAATATTCTCGTTGTACAATTCTAATATCCATTAAATAATCAACTGTATATATAGTCAACTGTATATATCCCTCCCAGTAAATCACTAAAATAACTTCTTAATATCTCTCATTTTATCTTCACTTTACTTATAATCATTAATAATCATTTTTTAATTCATTTCATTCCCTTATTTTAATCCTCGAAGAAAGAAAAGGGTTCATAACAAAACATTTTATATAGAGTTCATGTTCATATATGTATATGTAATTATATATTCCTAAGGTATTTCCCAACAAGTTTTAAACTAAATACCAATATATAGTATATTCTATGTGGTATCCCCCTTATAGAATCCCTAACCCTTATCTCTGAACTTTTTGGCTTTATTATTTCTTTTAATTTTAGTCAACTTTCCCTTTTCTAAAATTCCCTGATCATCTTTCCTTCTAACATTTCGCCCATTTTCTCCCCCCCACCTTTCCTGTTCTCTTTTTTGAAATTTCTTGTCTATTTTTTTCTTCCTTTGTTTAATCCTGGGAGCGTTTTTCTCTTTTATTTATTGACTCTGTCATCAATGTCATAGTTTTAATTCCTTTAGTGTCTTTTGGCACTGTTTCTTGTTCTCCATGTCTACCTGAGCCTCTTTCCTCCTTTAACTCCGCCTTGCTGGAATTTCTTTGTTCTTCTGCCATCAGCATTATTTTCTTTTCCAATATTAATATTCAAAGTCTTTTATTGCAATCCTTGCCAAAAGTCTCCTTTTATCTTTGTTTCTCTTGTTAATCCTTCTGTCTCTTTCACAATCAACACACAACAGTCCCAGGAAATTGCATTTGTATATCCTTTTAGTAGAGTTTCTCCCTCTTTTTTTTAAAAAAAAAATTACGGGATACTTATTATTTTATTTATCTTTTGTTTCATAACAGTTATGAGTCCAGTAAATTTCCATAAGATTTTTTTAGGAAAAATTGTCTTTGACCATTAGATGGCGCTCTGTATCACTCTCTACTTTTCAAAGTTCTTTTCTCTTTTAATTATGTTAAACATTAATTTCCAATCATTTCCACAATTAATTTTCTTCATAACAAATTCCAGGCAAGTCCAGCATTTTATCCAATGCTTAATTAATGCCAATTTATATTATTCAAAATTTAGTCTCTAATTTCTTTGATAACTTTTATACCCCAATTTTGTTTACCTAGTATTTTCCTCTTATTTTCTGTTCGCCGCTGTGATACTCTTGCGTGAGGGCACTTTCTTTCTATTTCTCGGGGTTATTAAGAAAACATTCAGTTCTTTTATCCGGTTACACATCACTTCATCGCTCCAGCACAAAACTTACGGTCCCAGCAGCTTTCTGTCTTCAGGGAAGCCATTTTAGACTGCCGTTTCTCCCCGTCTTCCATATTTATCTAGCTAGGGACGGGAGATGCAGCTCCCCTTGACCCAGCTAGCGGTCTCCCCCTCTTCTCCCACCCCTCCAAGGTGAGTCAGATGACTCTGGTCCCGTGGGGACCCTTCCAACAAGGGAAACACGGATCAAAGCCGCGCACGATCGTTGTCTCTGATCTGTTGTCAACAGAAATGCCACCGGAAGTCCCATTCCACAGTGCTTTACAGCCCTCTAAGCAGTCAACAGAAGTAGCCTGCAGTACTGCATGCTATCCAGTGTGCCAAAGTAGCTGAATGTGTTGTTGTTATTGTATTTCTAGAAACATTTAATGTCTCATTGCAGAACCAACATAAAGTTATATATGTTGTTTGCAAAGCTGGAAATCCTAGAACTGATTCTATGGAAATAGAATTGTCCCAATAGATTAAGTTAAAAAAAAAGGTTAATATTTCAGTAACAATAGCCCTTAAAAATGTTTCTTAAGTTGACTGTTATGTACTGTATACTGTTTGGGTTTCATTTCAGAGACACAGATATTTGTAGAAAAGTTATTTGATGCCGTCAATACCAAGAGCTATCTACCTCCACCTGAGCAGCCGTCTTCAGGAAGCCTGAAATCAGACTTCTTTCAGCATCAAGAAAAAGAAGTAAAAAAAGAAGAGGTAATAATCGCCCGTATTTTCTCTTAAGCTTACGTTATACAGGTAGTCCTTGACTACCACAATTGAACCCACAATTTCTGTTGCTAAGCAAGATAGATGTTAAGTAAGTTTTGCCCCATTTTATGACCTTTGTTGACACAGTTGCTAAGTGAATCACTGCAGTTAAGTTAGTAACAAGTTAAGCGAATCTGGTTTGTCAAAAGGTTGCAAAAGGTGATCCCATGACACCAGGATATTGCAACTCTCATAAATACATAAAGGTAAAGGTTCCCCTTGCACATATGTGCTAGTCGTTTCTGGTTCTAGGGGGCAGTGCTCATCTCCGTTACTAAGCCAAAGAGCCAGCGCTGTCCGAAGATGTCTCTATGGTCCTGTGGCTAGCATGACTAAACACCAAAGACGCACGGAACACTAGCTTCCCACCAAAGTGGTCCCTATTTTTCTACTTGCATTTTTACATGCTTTTGAACTGCTAGGTTGGCAGAAACTGGGACAAGTAACGGGAACTCACTCCGTTACGCGGCATTAGGGATTCGAACTGCCGAACTGCCAACCTTTCTACTCGACAAGCTCAGCGTCTTAGCCACTGAGCCACTGTGCCAGTTGCCAAATGTCCAAATTTTGATCATAATTACAGGGATGCTGCAACGGTATGTGAAAAACTTGTCATAAATTAGTTTTTTTCAGTGCCATTGTAATTTCAAATGATCACTAAATAAATGGTTGTAAAGACTATCTGTGTCTTGTAACCTGATCTACATTTTGCATTGCTGTTCTTTAGTATATATGAATGGAAGTTTGTTAAAACTATGATATTTCTTGTGAATGTCTTCTAGACTACAGTAATAGTTAGACCTGACAACATATATGGTAGAGATATAAAACTTAAAATATATCACATTATGTAATACTATGAGAAACAGGTGGTAAGGAATACTAATAGAACACAACAGCACAAAATAACCTTCATGCTTTATAACTTACTCTTGTGATATGGTATTTTCTGTAGGATAAATCAGTTAGGATGTGCAAGTTTTGTGAGCAAACCTAGGAGAACTTTGTACAGTTCCCTCATATTTATATTTATTTTGTTTGGCCAAGTGTGGTTAGACACACAGATTTATTTCTGGCACTTTCATTTTCACTATCTTTCATTTGGTTGTTAGAAAAAAGATCTGTTTCATGTTCCTTTTTATCAAGATAATTAAGGAAGAAGAACGAGAGAAAAAATTCTCTAGAAGACTTAATCATAGTCCTCCTCAGTCAAGTTCACGATACCGAGACACCAGGTAACACCTATTTTTCTCATTCTTGCAGTTGATATATGTTTCTGATTTTTAGAACATTTATATAAATGCTAAGATACTGGTTTATGTCAGTATCATAAGGTTTACAGAGGTACAAATGAACAAGTATCTGTGTTTTAAACAAAAAATTAAAAATCAATGTTTTAAAGTTACATTTTTAATAGACATACAAACAAGCACTTTTCATGACATATAACTTATTCGCAATGGAATAATTGCATTTTAGAAAAGTGCCACTATCTGAACTTGGGGGGTGGGTGGGTTGCTTTTGTATAGCCAGTACTGTAAAGCCAGTACAAAATTAGCCAGTACCGTATATGTTAAAATTGTAAAGTAAGTAAAGAAAGTAACATTGCTACTTTCATTATTTTGTCATAGACAATATATAGTGCTTTTATATCTATCTATATCTGTCTGTCTGTCTGTCTGTCTGTCTTATTTGTCTTTAGCTCTATCTGTCTATGTATGTACGTATGTATGTATGTATGTATGTATGTATGTATGTACATTGGACGAGTAACTTGGAGTATTTATAACTCATCAGTCTGAAAATGGAACATTGTAAAGAACCTACATCTGAAAGACCTTGTACCACTCTTGGTTTGAAGGATTTACTTCCAGAAATTGCTGAACCCTCATTGCAATAGCATGTTCCAAAATTGGATTGGAATATTCTAGAGTTGTCTGGAAAATTCCTTTCTCAAATTGATGAATTTTGCATTCCTACCAGCAACCTCTTCGGGCAATATTTTCTATGATTATCTTAGGTTTTGGTTAAATATTTCTACTATTGTTGATATAAGTAGCCTTTTTTATATATGAATTTTCCCTTTAGAATATATAAAATTTATGCTTATAAAGTTTTCTTGTCCAAAATATTTAGAAGCAGGGATGAAAGGAAGAAAGACGACCGTTCTCGCAAGAGAGATTATGACCGGAATCCTCCACGAAGAGAATCCTATAGAGACCGCTACAATAGAAGGAGGGGGAGGAGCCGAAGCTACAGCAGGAGCCGTAGTCGAAGCTGGAGTAAAGAAAGGTTGCGGGACAGAGATAGAGATAGGAGTAGGAGTCGCAGTAGAAGTAGAACAAGAAGCAGAGGTAACTATTAACCTTAAGCATGAATGTGCAGTGTACTTCATTTAAATAACTATAATTATAGATATAGCATGTAGGAAGGTCCACTCAGATTTTCTTTGGCCTTTCTTTGAGATATGGACCAGATTTTAGGGTTTTAGCTTTTCCTTAAATCGGAGGTCCCCAACCCTGGGGACCAGCACCAGGCCACGGCATGCCAGAAGCTGGGCCCCCACAAACAAGCAAAGCCCCATCTTCAGGATGTAGGCAGCACACGAAACCACGCCCCCTCTAGTCCACAGAAAATCTCCACAGAACCTGTCCCTGGTGTTCCAAAAGTTGGGGGCGGCTGCCTAACATGGTTTTTCCCATTTCCTGCAAATTGCAAATAGAATGGAATTACCTGAAATTTTAAGTCCAACTTATATTTGACTGCCCCGTCTTCTGGCTCCAGTGTCCAGAGACCACCGTGATAGAATGTTGTTTGGATGCATTCATTCCCAGAAAACCAGATAATATCCCATGACAAGCACTGTCTGTTACCGTAATTAAAAATGCCTGACTATCTCAGGATAAAATGTGCCGTCTTCAAATTAATAAAAAGCAGTGGATGCCCACTGAATTTATAATATTTATATAGAAAGCATTTATATTTTAGAATTTATTATATTGTTTGAAATGTTCACTAATTGTGAGGTGGGGTTTTTTTTGTCACATTAATTCAATTTTGGAGGGTTTATTTTGCGAGAATTGATTAGCCTGCATAATAGTTGCTGTTTTGCTTATGTTATTCTGTCACCTTCCACAGTTCTCAAATATTGTTTTATAGAAAGAGATCTGGGGAAGCCGAAGTATGACTTGGACAGAACGGAGCCGTTAGAAAACAGTTACCCTCCGGTTTCTTCCGTAACAAACATTTCATCTGGTCCCTATCCTGTCCCTACGCTAAGTAGCACTATAACTGTCATCGCTCCTGCTCACCATGGAAATAGTACTACTGAAAGCTGGTCAGAATTTCATGAAGAACAGTTGGACCACAATTCCTATGGAAGGCCCCCACTACCAAAGAAACGGTGCAGAGACTATGACGGTAAGCCCGGAAAATTTGACCCAAGTATTAAAAGATAAAGATGCATGTATAGGTAAGTTCTCGACTTACGGCCACAATTGAGCTCGATGTTACTATTGGTAAGTGAGACATTCATTAAGTGAGTTTTGCCCCATTTTATGAGCTTTCTTGCCACAGTTGTTCAGTGCAGTTGTTAAGTTGGTAACAAGTCTGACTTCCCCATTGACTTGCCAGAAGGCTGCAAAACGTGATCCCATGATCCCGAGACGTAGCAACCATCCTAAGTATGAGTCCATTGCCAAACATCTGAATTTTGATCACATGACTGTGGGGATGCTTCAACAGTCATAAGTATGAGAAACGGTCACTTTTTTCAGTGCCATTGTAATTTTGAACGGTCACTAAAGAACTGTTGTAAGTCGAGGACTATCTATATTATTTTTATATTTCTCCTTTTCTTCCTTGAACCCTCAGATATTCATGATCAAAGATCTTAAATATTCTCGTTAGATGATTTGGTCTTTAGTGTTTTATACAGGGTGGATTTGATTTACATTAAGTCGATTTAAATCACAATTTAAATAATGATTTAAATCACTAGTAAAAAGGCTTGATTTAAATTAACTCAATTTAAATCATAATTTTTAAAGAGCAACTGTCATTTCTGTCCCGTAGCAGCTCCTCCTCTGACCTGCTGTTTACTCACCGACAGTCCCTATATTGCAGAATATGCAGCCCCGTGCTACGTATCTCAGCTCCATTTCATGCTGAATAAACTAAATTATTAATGTATCTTAAAATAGAAAATTATCTTTAGATAGATTTTTATTCCAAAAGCATCTTATTAAAATAAATTTGATTAAAAATATCAGATTTAGATTTTTAAAAATCCGTTTTTTATTTCTTTTTAAAAATCATCGATTTTTATTCACCTTGGTTTTATATTCTATTGTGTAACGGTATAAAAGAGTTCATTGCATTGTAATGTCTTAATCTACTGTACCAAAGGGAGTTCGCCTTCCCTATTTTCCCTACTGTTTTACTTTTGTATTTTCTTTGTATGCTACTCTATAAACTAATAAAAAAAAACTATTGGAAGATGAAAAAAATAAATTGTAAATCAAGGACTATCTGTATTTTATATTTTTCCTTGAACCCCATAGATAGTAATGATCAAAGATTTTAAACATTCTCAGATATTTTTGTCTTTAATATTTTATACGTACTACTGTGCAAAGGTATAAAAAAAATTCATTGCATTGTAATGTATTCAGCTATTGCATAGCTATATTCGTAATGTTTATTGAAAATACTAACTACGCGCTTTCCTAATTTTATTTTGCTTTCCTTGTTTCAGAGAAAGGTTTTTGTATGAGAGGAGATATGTGTCCCTTTGATCATGGAAGTGACCCTGTAGTTGTAGAAGATGTGAACCTTCCAGGCATACTGCCTTTTCCAGCACAACCTCCGGTTGTCGAAGGCCCTCCTCCTCCGGGACTTCCTCCTCCGCCACCTATTCTTACTCCTCCTCCTGTAAATCTTAGACCGCCTGTCCCACCACCAGGCCCTTTACCACCTAGTCTTCCACCTGTAACAGGTAGGTTCTGTAAATCACAAATCTGCTGGCTGCAAATGTTTCACATTGTGCGTCCAGATAATACTGTGATTAGGAAAGGGGTATAAGTGGTGATCCCCCCCCCCCCCCGAGACCTTGGCTGAGACCGGATGTGCTTGCCTTTGTACATGGATGGATGAGATGTCCATGGAAATTCTCAGCCATTCAGGTCATGATTGTCTCAGAGGTGCTTTTTTCAAAAGGCACCTGGGCACTGGTTTTTCCTTGAGGAAGAAGACGCTTCATTTCTCATCCAAGAAGTTTTATCAGTGATTGATGAAACTTCTTGGATGAGAAGCGAAACGTCATCTTCCTCAAGGGAAAAAAAAATTGACCAGTTGCCTTTTGAAAAAGCACTTTTGAAACATAGATAGGTGAGATTGTCTGTCACATTGTGCCTTAGGGAGAGGATGAGTCTGGTCAGTTCACTTTCTGATTTATATGTTTCTCATCAGTGCTAAACCACGGTAGAGGCAAGAGACTAGTGAAGAACATCAATCCCAGGTACCTGTCTTTAAATTTTACTTATCAGGGAAGATTGTAGTTCTTCAGTTTAAAAAAAAAAATCCTGTAGGAAAGAGATTTACTGGACCCTTTTCAATCAGGGTTCAGGCTAGGTCATGAGATGGAAGAAACATTGTTCTGGATGTCTTTCATCAGGACCTGAATGAAAGTAGGGTGTTCATCCAGTCCTCTTAATATTTCAGGCCTACGGTACCTGGTGCAGGAAATCTTAACAGCAGTAAACTATACCCATGTCGCCTTGTGATTAGATTTCCACAATAGTTTATGTGGATTGTCTTTGAAGGACAACTTGGAAGCTTAGTTGATCAAGAACAGTTAATAAATTCAGCCCTGTAACACCTGCGGTGTGGGTGTTCCATGAGTTGTTAATTTGTTACGGGCCCCATTCAAAGTGTGTGTTACTGTCTTTCAAACATTATGTAACTTGGCTCTCGGCTACATTCAGGATTCTCCTGGCAAGATTGCGTTCTTGTAAGGGAGGCTTAGTGAGGGACCATATACCACATGAAGCGAAGTTGGTAGGGCACCCATAAAATACCTGATGTTGATGTTTTGCCTGCTGAGTAATAGAATGCCTTGAATGTCCCAGGCTTTTGGAAATTTCTTTATAGTTCCCTGTTTATTATGCTTTTTGGAACCTAATGATATTTCAGCTGCTTTACGCATGATTATTTAGTACTAATTGCTCCTAGTTTTATGAATGTATTTTTCTTAGAGTTTTGTTCATTGCCTTATGTATACAAAAGTTGGCAGTCAATAAAATGTGTGAAATAAATAGATAAATACTCCTACTGTACATTTTATAACCCGTTTCCTCCCAAACACACATTTTTATTATGATAATATATAGAAGGGAGATACCTTTTTAGATATTTAGGATCCAGATGAAGCTTTAAAAAATTAAAATTAGATTGATTGCAAAGCACACTTTAGTGTATTTTTTTTAAAAAATGTGTGATATAATCTGTGTTTCCTTTAGTTACAGTTCTAACACTCGTATTATGAAATAGTGATATAGCTGACAAGTTGGAATTAACAACGAGAATAATTTGTAATTAGAACTGCTGCAATTATTTTTTTTCTTTTCCACATTTTACATTGAAAAGAAAATTGTTTTATGGCCCATTAACATGATACAACAGATACTTCCCCTAGTGATTGTAGACAAGTTTTCTTAATAAATGATTTATATCTATCCTGATACTGTTACCATCTCAAAGAAACAAAACATGTTAGCCATTATTTACTTCATACTGCTACCAATATACTGCTGTATACTGCTAAAACGTTTATGTCTGATTATTTGTAATCTTTTAATTCAGTAATAATCAACATCATAGGGCAATGGTCAAGATATTTTCAAAGAGGCTAATTTAGAAATGCATCCAAAACCCATGATGTTTATAGGATTGAAATTTGTAAAACCTCTGGTTGCCTCCGTGCTATTGCGCCTAGTTGTGTTCAAGTAATAGTTATTTACAATGTTCCCTGTCAGCTTCCTGCAAGGCAAGCCAATGGGGAAGTTGACAGGGAATTCAAAAATTGTTCCCACTCCCACTGCTATTTAGTCTACTCGTAGTCATTTGGTTTCCCTTGTTTAGGTAAGGAAATAGCCCTGGAATGAAGGCCCAATGTGGGTTATCTAGTGCAGGGGTCCCCAGGCCCACTACTGAGCCATGGCTTATTTGGAATTGATCTGAGCGAGTGGCTGGCTGGAGCACATGTGTGCGCGCATTCAACTTGCGTGAGTGGCAGATGGGTGGGAACTTGTGAATGCGTATGCCAGACCGCTGCTTGTGTGGCTCAGTTCCTCTCTCCTCAGCTGAGCCGCCAAGCCACAAAAGTGGTGGACCGCTGATCTAGTCTATTTCTAAAGGTGCAGAAGATTTCAAAAGACAAGAAGCCCAGATCTTTTATTTTGTGCAGTATGTGGTTGCTTTTTTTTTTTTTGTCATTTTTGTAACTCCACTATTTTTTTATTTTTGGTAGGACCACCACCTCCACTACCACCATTGCAGCCCTCTGGCATGGATGCTCCCCCAAATTCTGCTACCAGCTCTGTTCCTACAGTTGTAACCACGGGTATTCATCACCAACCGCCACCTGCTCCGCCCTCTCTCTTCACAGGTGTAGTACTGGATTTTTTGTTTTAAAGAAATAAAAGAGGAAAAGTGATTTCTACACATAACGTGCAGTGGAGTTTTAGAACATTGAAAGGAAAAAAACCATGTGAGGAGTAGTCCATCCCCTCAGAGGGGAGTAGAATAGAATAGAACAGAACAGAACAGAACAGAATAGAATACTTCATTATTATACTTTATTGGCCAAGTGTGATTGGACACACAAAGAATTTGTCTTGGTGTAAATGGGATCAGTGGTAGTATTCTACCAGTTCAGCCTGATTCTGCTGAGCTGGTAGCGGCGATGAGCAGTGGAGACTGAACTGGTTCTCTCTGCTGTTGGGCCCACCCGCCTGCCCAGGCTCCCATACTCCCCTTTATCCTCTGCTTTTGAAACGCAGCTGCTTTGTGCGGCACAGCAGAGTGTCGCGTGGCAGCTGCTGAAGCGACCGGGAGAGTGGAGGCTTGCAGGAGGTGAGTTGGAACGCCTCTGCGTCTGCACAATTGCCTCTGCGCCTGTGCAAAGTGTACGTGGGCGCACAAAGCATGCCCACCAAGCCACACCCACCGAACCGGTGGTAAAAGTTCCTGAATCTCACCACTGAATGGGACTACTCACCATGGCCAAGCTGCTGCAGCCAACTCACCATGGCCAACTCTCTGCAAAACAACTCACTGTGGGACAGTTTAACAATTTATGTCATTATTTACAATAAATAAAAGTTATTTTAACTTTTGCCATTCACATTATGGCTGTAAAGCACTATAAAGTGATATATAAGTCTAAGCGCTATCGCTATTCTATCCCTCCTTTGCAATCATTTTTTAAATCATTCTATTCCACCATTTCTTTGATACTGATATAACTCTTGTCATGCAGTGAGTTATCAAGATGGCCATGGCGGGTTGGCCGCAGCGAATTGTCATAGACTTTTCTCGAAGTGGGACTTCTCAGTGGTCCCTCTCTTCTACAGTCTTTTTTTCCCCTGTTAGGTTGGTTCCAAAATATCCCCAAACTTCTAGAGATTTTCAGTTCACGAAGGGAGGTAAAACATTTGGGATTGATTGTACCTTGATTGAATGCCATCATATATATTTTATTTTTAAAAAGGCACTTTTGAGTGTCAGAAAGGATCATTCTAGGTAGCTAAAATAGTGCAGAGTCTATGATTTTAATAAGACTCTGTGTGGGATGCAGTTTTATACTCAAACACAAGATCAAAAGAATTGTGAAAACTAGGCTCCCAGACTTAATGGAGCATTAAATGTATTTTCCCCTCAAAAGGTCAAAAGCTTTTGAAATTAAAGCTCCCAAACCAGTTTACTATATACTACAAAATTTAAAGAAAAAAGTTTGAAAAAAACTTTGGGGTAGTAAAAAATATATGAAAAAAAGTTACTTTGTGTTCTAATTCTGATTTGATCCTATATAAATTGTATTAAGAGTATATCTATGATGGAGCTGTGAAAAGTCGTTTTTTGTACAGCTTTTAGCATACATCTATTAGGATAACAATTCACTCTTTTAAAACTTTTCAGTTTAATTCAAAATTATTCAGCTTAGAAGTCCAATTACTTTTGTGCATATGTGCCAAATAGCCTTTTCCCCCCACTAAACCAAATTGTTGATATGAATCATTTAAGGGTTGATTTTCATGCCTGCAGTATATGGTTTAAGTTTCTCTATAATTATATGATTAGATAATATATTTTTTTTGCCAGAAACATACGACACAGATGGCTACAATCCTGAAGCCCCAAGTATAACCAGCACTTCCAGACCCATGTATAGACACAGAGTCCATGCCCAAAGACCAAATTTGATAGGACTGACCTCAGGTGATATGGACCTGCCACCAAGAGGTAACATGAAAGATTTCTTGCTTTAAAATGTAAATGGGTAGTATCGCGTGATTCTAGAAGACCTTATGTTTATTCTATTCACCAAGGCTTGTACCTCCTCTCAAATGCTCACCATTTTACTAATTGGGAAATGTGGTAGGAACTGAAGTTGCAAGGATCATTTCTAGTGGTGCCATCCTCATCATCATTGCATTTTTCCCAGTGAACTAAGCATGTGCTTGCACGAGTTAAAAAAGTTAATGGGAAAGTAATAAACCATTTACCCTGTACTCTCTATTGAAACTCCACACCTTTAATCAATTGGTGTTGGAAGCTCCTAATCAGATGAACAGTGGGGGAAAGGATAGAATAGGATACCTGATGGAAGCTGGTTGTTAAATGAATCTGGTTTCCCCATTGACTTTGAAAAAAGCATCACATGACCTTGGGACACAGCAGTGGTCATAAGTATGAACCAACTGCTAAGCATCTGAAGTTTGATCACATGGCCATGTTTCAAAGGTCCAACTGAAAAATGGTCACAAGTCACTTTTTTCAGTGCCATTGTAACTTTGAACATTCACTAAATGAACTGTTAAAAATCAAGGACTGTCTGTACTTCTTTATGAGATGCCTTTTTCCCAAAGAAATCCCTCTCAGGCTTCAGGTCACACACAAGTCATCTGATAAATACAGCTGAACAGAAATTATATTTTCTAAGCAGTGTAGGCTGTACTTCCCCTCTAGGGTTACTTGCATTTCCTTTTGAAGTATGTAGTTTTAGTGTATCTTGGACCAACACTGAATCAAAGGGACCTGGATGTAAAGAAGTCCTGCATTTAACATGCTGTGAAAATGTAGTAAGTCGGTTGACAGTAATCAGGAGAGAAAATTCTACTATAAAATGCACAAACACCCTTTAAAAATTAATCAGTGTATTCTTTTCTTCCTCCAGAAAAACCTCCCAATAAAAGCAGTATGAGGATTGTAGTGGATTCAGAGTCCCGGAAGAGAACTATCGGCGCAGGCGATGGACTTGCAGCAAAGAAGAATTGGTTTGACAAGTAAGCAGTTGTTTGCTCTACTGACAGCAAAGTCAACAGAGTAATGAAGAACCAGCTGTCTTGGCCTCTGCTGCTCAAAAGACCCCCTCCTCTTAATCCCCCTCCCCCCACATATTTTGACTTTAAAAGCAGAATTTAGGTACAGTACAGAAATATTGTCTACACTTGATTTAAAGTTTGAAAGCCAAAAAAACAAGTGAAAATAGCAGCTGCAACAACTTGAAGTCTACTTTTTTGTATGTGTTTCTAATATCAGGTATTCATGTAAAATAGCAGGGCTTTACAACCATTATCTTGAATTTTTTGTTTTTGATGGATACTTGTGGACACTGTAGATGCAGATCAAATAAACAACACTTTGAATTATTTTTATATGGGCCCTGTAATACTCAACATTTGTATATCTATATTAAAAGAAAATCACATTATCATATAAGTTCACTTGAGTAATACAGGTGTTTCTGTTGCATGAAAACATGTCCAAATACTGCTTTCCAAATTAAGAACAGTTTTAATAGAATAACAGACTTGGAAGGGACCTTGGGAGGTCTTCTGCTCCAACCCTCTGCTCAAACAGAAGACCAGTACTATTCCGGACAATTGATTAATTGTTCTAACTGTCAGAACATTTCTCCTTAGTTCTAGGTTGGTTGTCTCCTTGATTAATTTCCATCCAGTTTTAATATACATGTCAACAACTTCCTCATTCCAAACTGAATTAATCTTAGTTTATTCAGTTTGCAATATACATTAATATACTATAAGATTAAATCTTTAGCAAGATATTTACGCTAGCCCTGTATAGGTTTCTGTAGAGGAAAACATGGGAATCTAAAGGAATGTTACTCATTTATGATCGTTATATTATATATAGGCGATATATGATAGAGGCTGGTATGTGATGATGAATTGATCTTTGCTTTTCCCTATTTGGATAGTTGCCGATAATGATATACTGACGCTTTTCTTGTTCCACAACCGTGTTTAAAATAGATGCCTCTTGGAATTGAGTTTCAGATTATTTATCATTTAATTCCACGTTTTAACTATTCTCTTGTGAATTGATTTCTATTAGTAACTTTAAGCATTTGAATTTTTTTTTTAGACAAAATTTTAATAGAACAAATAGTCCGGCTTTCCAGAAGAAGATGCAATTTGGGAATGAAAACACAAAACTTGAACTGAGGAGAATTCCTACAGAGCTTAATAATATCAGCAAACTAAATGAACACTTCAGCAAATTTGGAAATTTAGTGAATTTGCAGGTAGGCGATAGTGTGGCTGGCTGGAGAATTCTGGGAGTTGAAGTCCTCCCATTTTAAAATGTCCCAGGTTGAGAAATAGGGCTGTAAACCTTTTGACCATATTTTTAAAATAATATATTGGAAATTCTTTACTAGTTGAATCATGGATCATGACAGTGTATTTTTTCTAATACATAAAGGCATGAAAATATCATCTGTTTAAATAGAGAGTTTTAATCAGAGGTTAAATATTGGAACAGAATTAAATCTTTTGCAGTTACCCTGAGGCAAGAATAAGCAACATTGTTTCCTCCAGATATTTTGGCCTAATTATTCCACGTTTCTTTGCAATTGTCCCTGCTGATAGGGCCTGATGGGAATTTGAATTCTAAACATTTGAAAGGAATTTGATTGCCTATCTCTGTATTTGTAAAGTGGCACAATACTAGTTCCTTTCTTCTCAAATAATCTATACACGTAGTCCTCAATTTACAACAGTTCATTGAAGCTCCAAAGACACTGAAATAAGCGACTTATGGCTGCTTTCACATTTACAATTATTGCAGCATCTCCATGGTCGCAAGATCAACATTCAAATGCTTGACAACTGGCATGTATTTATAACAGTTGCAATGTCCCAAGGACACGTGATCCCTTTTTATGACCTTCTGAAAAGCAAAGTCAATGGGGAAGCCAGATTCACTTAACAACCGTGTCACTAACCTGACAACTGCAGTGATTTACTTAACTGTGAATTTTAGACTCAGTTGAGGTGGTAGGTAAAGGACTAGCTGTATTACAATTTACTGTACTGCAATTTAAAAAAAATAAAAGGTTCATTTGGCAGGCCTTCTCCTAAATATTTGTGTAATAGGATATTTGGTTCATTTGTATCCTGTTAAAAGTCTATGATTTGGGATTGCACATTTTCTTTCTTTCTTTCTTTCTTTTTTTTGGGGAGGGGTTTAAAAAATTGCAAGAAAATTTTATTTATTTGTGCCAAAAACATACTCAGTAAAATGCCTAGAAATGTACATTTTGAATAACTACATTCTTCTCCACTTCCTGACTAGAAATTACAAATTAGACCAGGTTGCTTATGAGATTTCTAATAAAGTCTGCTTGAACTCCCAGGTGGCTTAATAATGTTCTGAATATTCTCTGTATGACATTCCTAAAGAGTCTTGTGCTTTTTGGAGAAGACTCTCTCTGCATTTCTCTACATTGTGTTTGCTTTTCCTTCAAAAATCATAGGTTGCCTACCAGGGAGATCCAGAAGGTGCCCTCATCCAGTTTGCTACCCACGAGGAAGCTAAAAAAGCAATATCAAGTACAGAAGCCGTCTTAAATAATCGATTTATCAAAGTCTATTGGCATAGAGAAGGCAGTACTCCCCCAATTACAACTTCAGTTCCGAAGGTAAAGAATAAAATTTGATTAATTTGGATAAGTCTTTTAAGCTAAGTACCTACTTTAGCATGGTTTTCAAGACGTTTGAACCTTGAATTTTCCAAATCAATACTTAGAATTTTTTTTATTTGAATAAGAATTTTGCTTATGAATATAGATCAGTTAAATATTTTATTTCACATATTTGAATTTTTTACTATAAGAAAATGAGTCATTTGGAGCTAATACAGCATTTTAGTACCTGATTGTTCTTGTAAGATATTCTTAGCCCTTCCTAGTTTCATTTAAATAATAATGTTGTGCATAATGCAGAGTTCTCCCAGTCTTATAATGAAAATGTCTCTGCTATTCATTAAAACATCCCCCTCTGTTATATATAAGCCTGGAAAAAAAAACAGGATTGCTTTATTTAATGAATGTTACAAAGATATTTCATGAGGTTCAACCATCTCTGTGGAACACATATTTAAGCATGCATGGCTCTAAAAATACTATTTTTAAACTTTGAGTATGTTTTTGTGATAACCTGAAACACTCATCTGATCCCTTTCTGAAGTATTATATAGACCCATATAATTATTTATTGGAAAGATAATCTGAGGATATTCATACAATCGCACAAAAATTGTTAACATAAAAAGGAAAGATTAAAGAACACTTAATCTTAAATTGTTGTTTTTAGATTTAAATAATTGAGTAGTTTCAGAACTATGGCCTTATAAAACTTACTGAAAATATAATTATACCAAAATAGCATTCAGATTAGAGAGCATCATGAAAAAAGGAATAATGGTAAAATGTCTAGAAGCCAGTCATACTCCCGAGTTGAAATATTTATGAACTATTATGAAGATTTTTATTTCTTTTTAAGGTAATACAGCCTTTGGTCCAGCAACCCATTTTACCAGTTGTGAAGCAGTCAGTCAAGGAACGATTAGGTCCAGTGCCTGCCAGTAACATTGAACCAATTGAAGCACAGAGTGCCAGTGTGGAAACAGTTCAGGTGAATGTGACTCTTAATTTTCCTTTTAACTTTCTTAGTCTGCAAAACCAAACTGTAGTTTCTTCTCTGTTAGAAGCACCTATGCAGTGTAAATGGGAAACGGAACTTTTTAAGAATGATTGAAATGAGTTTTATGTTTAATTCCCATGTTTAGTAAAGTGGCACATTTGAATTGATAAGGCCGCCTTACAGATTCATTACAGTTCTTTCTAATGAATAGCCAAAAATGTTTAAAGGGATTAATCTTATTGCCTCTGAAGAATTTAAGTGTTTTAATACTCAAGTAAGTTTTTATTTATTTATCTTTGAAAATTCCCCATTGGAAAAAAAAAGGATATAATGGCTCACAAGCTCATTGAAATATTAATTAAAGCAACTTCATTAGTAAAACAAATGTTACATGAATTTGTGGTAGGGGAAGGCCAATCTAGAAAGTTGGGTATGTAAGCAAAACATAAAACATTTTAATCTGGGATGTGGCATATCATAAGTAGAGGACTACCTGTATTGCCAAACTCTTGTAGATGACACACTTCCAAAACTTTGCTTTTGAGCAGCCATCGTGAGATTTAATGAATCAATGCTGTTTGCTCTTTTTTTTTTTACACGGCAAATAGAAATGGTATATCTAAATAGGCCCTGTCCCATTATTTATTGCACTGTACGCTCACTAGTTTTTAAATCAGCTTGCAGTTTGATTTGTTTCCAAGTTTGGTATTTGATCCAGCAGAAAGTTGTACATTTTGAAGTTATGCCCCCAAATCCTGTAGTTGAAGGGAATGGGCGTTTTGCAAAACCCTTCTACAATCTTCTATTTATCTTGGTGGAATTGGTTGGGTTTTCGATAGCTACCTTAAAAGTGAGACAAAATGTACTTAAAAACATGTATTACAAACATTAAACAGATCCTTTTTCACCTAGAATGTAACCAAACTGTCTGTAAAGGATAGACTTGGGTTTGTGCCTAAACCACCTACTCCAACTACAGAAAAGGTAAGAAAACTATAATACTCAGCAAACTGTCACCTAATTAACCAGAGTCAGCTTCAAAGCAGATGTTCAGGTGTTATAAATGCAAAGTAATTGTCAGCTTCTTTAAAACCATAGCAGCTCTGACACGACAGCAGTTGAAATGCTACTAACCATACTCGTTTTCACATCGTCAGTGAAACCTAAATTGTTGCTTTTTCGGCATGGATTTGCATGCCGAGGTGTTTAACAAAACTAGTTTAAATTTGGTGCAGCATCTGTTAGTACAGAGGAAGTGAAATTGCTTGACATTAGAAAATGACTGGTGTAGTAAAGCTAGCAGCAGGAAATTGCTGTGGTGTGCTGTCACATTACTAAAGCTCTTGGCAAGAGCACCCTTTTGGATTAACATTTTAATAAACCTCTGTCAGCATCGCTGATAGGAAGAGATTATGGGAGTTCTAGCTCAAAGCACCCAGATGATGTCTGCTAAGCTGTTATATTTTGCTTTAATGGTTCGGGCTCTTTGCTTGGCATCCGTGGTTATGTGGCTTTCAGTATTAGGATGATACTCAGACTCATTACAATTTTATTTTACTTAATGGAATTTGCATATTGGATAATAGAGGAGGTAGATACTGAATAGTGTGGGTATATAGTTATAAACTACAAATTAAAAGCTTGCTGCCTTTTATTTGTGAGTTTAGATGCTTTTGACTTGATGAGTCCAATACTCATATAGTGATACATGATAATTTAAGTTGGATAATATGTCCATAGGCTTTGGGGAAAAAAGAAGCAGGTAAGAGAGAATTAGCACAGGAAAAATAAACCAGAGACTAATCAACAGACATTTAAGGCCTTTCTTGAAAGCGTTACTGATTATTTTGAAAACTTCTTTAACAGCCACAATTCATAATTTCAATATGCCCTTCTAATGTACAAAATTCATTAGCTCTTTCTTACAGTTCCTTCTATATATTATAATAGAAAAAATAATCAGATATCCAATTATGTACATTTGATTGATAAATAAGACAACTCCCTTTCTTAAATTTCCATTTTTTGTACGTTGAGGAAACTAGGAGTTTTTCTGATTCTATGAAAATCATGTCTTGACTCAACAGCACTCTGTAACCACAGATTTTACAAGTTTTAAAATTATACTTTAGCTTTCAGTTAAATTGCCTTTAACTCCCAATTTTACTGTTTTTGAATTCAAAATAGTAATTAGTAATTATAATAAACATGTTTATTATATTATTATTTTATTAATAAACCTTTGACCTCTCAGTGTTTGTTGAGACCATGGTTTTTCCTTATAAGAGGGCAGATCTTATCTGTATTAAGATGGAAGACTTCTAGGAAACTGGTAGACTGTAAGATAGAATGTTCTCAAATATAGAAGTAGGTAAAAGCAATCTTTTGTATTTTATTGCTAAGAAAACACTTCGATAAGTCTAGATAACATGCCTTTGATGTGAGAGTTTCTATTTCATTAGGTACTAATGAAATATTTTTCTACTACAGGTATTGTCAACTTCTACCGGCTTGACAAAAACAGTATACAATCCAGCTGCTTTGAAGGCAGCTCAGAAAATTTTGCCTGTTGTTAATACTGCCCTGTTAGATTCCAGTGAAGCACAGAAGAAAAAACAGGTACATTTAATGTGATTGTGGGTAAAGGACATTTTCCTTGTTGAAGCATATTGTTTATAATCTTCTAACTATGATTAGGAAATTGGGAGCATTCAAAGACTACTTTCTTCCTATGAATTTCTGTTTATATAAATATATACTTTTTTCAAATATATTTATGTGAAACTGTATATATATATGTGCATTTGTGTGGTCTCCCAATCGTAGCATACAATCATGATTACAAATAATTTACAAACTCTGGTTTCAGTTATCACATAGAATAAAAATCCTGGTGTTATTTGCTGTTCGTTTTTCCTCATGGACTACTTATCTTGAAAAATCCAATATATTAGAAGTGACATTTGTTTTGCTATATTTCAAGATTAATTTTAGTTATTCAATTATACATAATTGAACAATAATATTTATATATTTTCTAGATCTCAAACAATGCGAAATACAATAAAACACTGAGATATAAGATATATATTTGAGATATGGGAAGATATTAAATGCTATTACAATTCCACAATTCCCCCAAAGGTGCCTTTTTCAAGAGACAACTGGACTTTCTGGTTTTATTATTATTATTATTTAGTGTATAACAGAAGAAAAGTAAGCACATACACAATCCATGTAATTACATATAAAACCTCCATATAGCAGTGGCCTCATAACTGTATGTCCAATCCAGGCATGGCTTTGTGCAGCTCTTCTAGGGAAACAGAGAAGGGACATGGTGGGCAATCTTTCCAGAAATTCCACAATGATATTACCATGATGGCAATCCCATGTTGAAGAATACATGTTTGAATTATGGACAGTTCTTTTCTTTTGCTAGATTTTTAGGGGTTCTTCAAATCTCAATTTAATTATAGACCCTTAAAATAACAGGACTTGAATATAGATGATTTTGTTCAAGTTTCCTCCAATGATGCCTTTAAATTACTGAGTTTCTGCATATAAGTTGAACAAATATTCCATACATTGACGAGAAGAGAATGTCTAACCACGGATACCCTGTTCAGATATGTGATTGTTAGATAATTATGTGTTATTAGTGAAAACATAATATGGTTTGGGCTTTTTTCTATATATAATGATTCTTTTAAATTAAAAACAATTAATTAAAATTTTATCTCTGTGTGTACAGGTGTACGTGTGTATGTATATACTTGCCTGTACGTACATAGTTGGAAGCATTTTAGCTATTGTGGTATTAGCAAAGGTATTGAGATGCTTCCTGGAATTTTTATATTTTTAGGAGGCATTAAGACTTCAGCAAGATGTGAGGAAGAAAAAACAAGAGATCCTGGAAAAACATATTGAAACGCAAAAGGTAATAGAATGATAACAGTAAAATATATAAAATATAAGGGTAGATTTATGTCATTAAAAAAATTGAATTGTAAAAGCAGTTAAATGGAAATCAGAACAAAGAAAGAGAATCAGTCCCCATTTAGCAACTGCAATTGGGATGGTAACTCGGTCATCAAACAAAGCAGTTACTAAGTGAAAAGTCGTATGACTGCAACTGTGCTTACTATTTTATTTCAGCTTTGCTTTGCTTTACAGTGTCAAACGGATACAGCCCCAAGCCACTGGGTGAGCCCAAACAATGTGGAAAGTTTCTGGAACTTGACTCAAAAGGAACCAGGGCAAAAGGGCAAATCTTACAGCCCTTTTCCCTCACTCTCCCGCCCTTTGGAATGCTCATCCCAACGCTGTGATTATTAGCAAGAAAAATTGATGTTTATAGTTAACATTTATTGGAGAGGAAGGGATTACAAGAGAGTAAGCAGGCATACAATGGGAAATACAGGTCTAAATACATTAGGGCCAACTCGTTGCCTAGCAAGTTGGTAGCTACAAACCACTAACTGCCAAGAAGGCAAAAAAGCCATCAATATAAAATTGATTAGAATCTTGTCAGTGTCAGGCAGCAGCACAGCTGGATGGGTCTAATAGCTAATTAAAGTCCTAGAACTGAATTTTTTAACTTGCACTTAGTACTTTTTAGGGACGCATATTGTGTTGCAAGGAAAAGCAGCTCAGAGCTAGTTTATTTAGGCAATCTTTCCTGCCTGTGAGGGGGAAAGAAAGAAAAATATGTCAGACACAGGAAAACGTGTATTGACAAATACATGAGAGAAAGATGCCACAAGGATAGTAAATGTGGGCATAAGTTTCAAAGTTATTTTTTCATTTCACATAACTGTGAGCAATCATTGATGAGGCAATTGCTAAAGGACTATCTATATTCATATTCAGTAAGGGGCCATATATATATTTGCAGTACGAGTAAGACATTAGCAAAGATAAGTTTGGAAGAATTTTAGTTTCAATTTTGTTTCTTGTGGATGAATTTTTCAAACAAATATTTTTGAGAAAGTAAGCCAATAACATAGATCTTGGTAGTAAATTGACTTTTTCTGTCTTTTTATATTGTTGAGAGGTATGAATTTTTAAAAATTGAAACATATAATTGGATCCAGGATTTCGCTGTGAAAAGCGTAGAGCACATTAGTATTAGAATGAATATTTTTATATATTTTATGTGTGGGGAAACTACTCGTAAAGAATTCCTGTAACTAACACGATAATTCCACTAGATGCTGATTTCAAAACTGGAGAAAAATAAAAATATGAAGTTAGAAGACAAAGCCGAAATCATGAAAACTCTGGAGGCATTAACCAACAGTATCACCAAGTTAAAGGATGAATTGAAAGGAGTTTCCTCAACAAGCACTCCGGTAAAAAGCATGAAAACAAGGACACAGGTATACAGATTTTTAAATTTTATTTTTTAATTTATTTGTATCCAGCCTTTATTATTTTTACAAATACTCAAGGTGGTGAGCATACCTCCATTCTTCTATTTTCCTCACCACAACGACAACCTTGTGAGGTGGGTTGGGCTGAGAGAGAGTGCCCAAAGTCACCCAGCTGACTTTCACAGCTAAGACGGGACTTGAACTTACGGTCCCTTGCTTTCTGTCCTGGCATCTTAATCACTAAACCCGTGATGGCGAACATATGGCACACGTGCCACAGGTAGCATGCAGAGCCATTTGCCAGCATGCAAGCCGCAAGCAAACTTACCTCACTGTGTATGTGTATGCCTCCCAGCTGATTTTCAGCCCATTTTGAGGCCTTTTTCGGCCTCCCAGAGGCTTGAGGAAAGCTTCTGCAGCCTTTGTAGGACGAAAAATAGGCCCGTTTCGTCACTTCCTATATTTCCGGAAGTGGCGAAACAGGCCCATTTTTCGGCCTGCAAAGTCTGGAGAATCTTTTCTTGTGCCTCTGGAGGCTGAAAAAGGCCTCAAAAGGGCCAAAAATCAATTGGGAGGCGCAGTACAGGTAAGGGGGCAGCAGCGTGGGGGGGATTGTGTGAGCATGCGCAGGAGGTGGGGGTGCGCCTTCTGGGTGCTGGCACGCGAGCGCACGTACATTTTTTGGCACGGGAGCCCAAAAATGTTAGTCACCACTGCGCTAGACCAAACTGGCTCCCATTTTGTTCTTTTCAGATCTCTTTTAACTCTTTTTGTTATTTAATTAGTTTTGTTTTCAACATCCACGATTGTATGTATATTTTTATGAGTGTTTACAATTCATTCTTGCCTTCAGGAGAACAATGGAAAAAATATCCCCTCTTCTTTCAACACAAATTTTTGAGCCGAAAATTAACTCCAGACAAATTATTTGGTTGCTTAGCAGTCTGAAGTAATACTGCTAAGCAAGCAAATAATTTGTTTGAAGTTAATTTTCAGATAGAATCATAATTCAGAATCTGGAAAAATAAAAGTAATTCATTTAAAACTGATTAAAAACCAAATTATGGCTAGTGTTCTGCTAATGTGTGTAACCTCTGTTGGGGACTTCTTTTTCTACCCAGCATCCTTGTTATATCGCGTGGAATCCTAGTTATTTCATCTGGTATTTATATGTGAGTTAGAAAATGCAAACCAAATTGCTTCCATAACTTTTTAGATGCAGAAAGAACTATTGGATACAGAGTTGGACTTATATAAGAAGATGCAAGCTGGAGAAGAAGTTACTGAATTAAGGAGAAAATATACAGAACTGCAGCTTGAAGTAAGTATATTTCACCATTGCTGGTTAACATTGCAGATGTTTCACTTCTTGTCTACATAACGCACGAATTGTTTTGAACAGAAATCAGCTTAAACTGTCTTTAATGGAGTTCTTAGACTTACATATTTGTAAGTCTAAGTTGTCTTTTAACAAGTTTGTCTTTAACCTAAGTCGCTATCAACAGCAGGCATTTTTACAATGTACCCATAGATGGTGCTATTGGTGTTCAGAAGTATTGAAGTGCCCCTAACCTATTTCCCAGGCCTTTACGATTCACTGCCCCTTTTTTTTACTAGAAATATATATTAACAGAAACAGTTCTTTGTTAAATGTAGCTTGATGTGGGTCCTGCTGTTCTATAAAAGGAATCTAAGTGACAACAGCACAATTTGGTATTTCTTTCATTAATTCTGTGAGCCATCCATTATGCAGCAGACAAGTGTTAAAAAATTAACACAGAGAGAGACATACCTTTGCAGTTCATTCAGTTGAATTTTGACTCAGTCTGTGACACGTATATTTGGGCACGCATATTGTGAATATATTTGCTTTAGTTTCACTTTCTTCTAAGAAAACATCAAGGAATTAAACTATTAATGACAAAGTATGTGGTTAGATTTGAACCCTCTTTTTCCTTCAGTGTGGCATAATTAGCATTCCCTCCCCTAATTTTTCTCACATCAAGAGACCTCTGGGAAAGTTCATCTGAGAGAGTAAGAGTGCCCTAAAGTCACCCAGTGAACAGAGTCAAGCCAGCTACAATTCAAAGACGATAATGCTATATGTATCACTATAAATTACATAATGCAGAGCATTGTTCTAAAGTTGAAAATGCAGACAGAGTATATATCTCATTTGGGTTTCTACGAACATTTTTTTTAATTATCGCTAGGCCGCAAAGCGAGGCATTCTTTCCTCTGGCCGTGGGAGAGGAATGCACACACGAGGTCGAGGTGCATCTCGTGGGAGAGGTAGGGGAGTTCGAGGCCGGGGTCGAGGAAGAAGTCTTTCTGTTCACGCCGTGGTGGATCATCGTCCTCGAGCCCTTGAAATCTCAGCTTTTACGGAGAATGACAGGGAAGATCTCCTTCCTCATTTTGCGGTATGTACCTGTCTGATTTTCTACGGAGATTCTCGGTCATCCGGGTGTGATGGTTGTCCCAAAGGTACTTTTTCAAGAGGCAACTGGACTTTCTTGGTTTTTTCCTTTGAAGACCTTTTGCTTCTCATCCTAGAAGCTTGGACTACCTGTCTGACTGTTCTGTTAATCTTAGTACGTTGTGTGATGTGTGTGTGTGTTATCTCTGACATTTTCACTGTAACTGATAAAATATTCAGGCCAAGTTAAATTTGCTGAACAACTTCAGATGTACTTTAGACAAGACAACTGTTGCCTTATTTTTCTGTAAGAGTGGAAAAAGGGCAGGAGAGGATAAGAAATGGCAGGTTGTCAACATGGTTGAAGGAAAGGATGAAAATAAGGACGTGTATATCTTGGTTACTGATTTGTAATAACGGATTGGATAGGATTGGATCAGATTCATACTCATACTCGATGATATAAAGTCTGTGCCTTTGATACATACATCATGACATCATAAATCCCAGAAGTGGCACTTGCATCCTTATCCTGTTTGTTTGATCATTCTGATGAAAGAGTGTGTTTGGTTTTGAACCTGGTGCTTTCTGAGCTTGGTTGCTTGCTTTCAGAAATTTCATTACCCAGATAGGGAGGGATAAAATGAACATCAGATAACATTATCTTGTAAGGTGGAGGTGGTTGCTTTTTTTGTTTTTAAAGAAAAACGTGCTTAAATTTGTCTTATATTCAGTTTCCTTTTAATACTTTTATAAAAACACAATTCTGCAGTTATTTTAGATTTGGAATCATTGTCAGTGCAAATTGTATCTAAATGCTTTTAGCTTAAAGTTATCAAATACGTTGCCTAGATGAGTATCTTTTTTCCTCTTAAAAGCAATATGGTGAAATTGAAGACTGCCAGATAGATGATTCTTCTCTCCACGCAGTGATTACTTTTAAAACAAGAGCTGAGGCAGAAGCAGTAAGTATATTCCCCACCCTTTTTCCCCACTTCAAGTATGTTTATATTTGAAAGTAAAATGTTTTCATGTGTCCTGTCTTTGGAGCATTGCAGTCTTCCAAAATCTGATTAACTCCTATCCTTTTCAGTTTTAAGACAGTTATTAAAACTTCTCAAGAAAGTTTTGCAAAAATATCTTCTGTGTATCAATTATCATGGGTATTTTATACTAAGTACTGGAGGGAAGGAGGGATAGATAAAATTATGTTAAGTCTTCATTTTAGGCAGTTGCATTTGCAGCATTTGTTCTATTGAATATTATTCTAGCTTTAAATCATTTAATTAAATACAACAGATCTAATAAAATAGTATTTCTGGGCAATCACCTCAGATGTTTGCATCACAATCTGAAATACCAGAAGAGAGGCATAATGAACGTTGTCTATGAATATTTCTGAATATATAATTTCTAGCATTCATTTAGTTGTTTCCTGGAGCACTGGTAGTAGGAAACAATGTCTATGAAGAATATCTTCCATTTTTCCTTTTATTTGAAATAAATCAAGACTCAAGAATGTTCAATATGAAACTTAATAGTTCTAAGGCAACTTATGTCAGATATTTTTTGTTGCATTCTTCACCAGTTTGTGAATATTCTAAAATTACAATATATTAAAATTTATTAATTTTAATAATGTTACTGATTTTAATATATTTAATCACTTATCTTCCAAAAATTAAATATACTTTGGGAAAAAAGTCAAGTTGGAAAGATTTGCACCCTAAAGTTGGAGCTATAAAAGCATAGCATATGATCATATGAATTTAATAATTTATTTACTAATGTCAAATCACAGTTTGCTCCAATGTTGAACATTTGCAAGTTTATTATTCCGCAGATATAATCCTGTGGATAGGGAAGCCTAATTAAAAATGAAGGATAATAAACAAGTCTCTCCTTGTCAATAAACTGAATTAATGCACAGTATATTTTTTGAAAATATAACTTGAAGGTGGTGAGAAAAGTAAAATCTTGCACCTGGACATGAAAAACCAGATGAATAGATAGGCAGTGCAAGAATATTGCCTGTGAGAGGTCTAGGTGCACTGGTGGACCATTGCTTAAATAATGCGTTGCAGCTGCCAACACAGTTCTGGGCTGCCTAAACAGAAGAATTGTATCAAGATAAGTGAAGTTATAGTACCACGTTATATGCCCTGATGCACACTATAGTGCACGTTGGGAATACTGTCTCCATTTCTGATCACCGTGATACAAAAAAAGATGCTGAAGCCCTAGAAAGTGTGCAGAGGAGAGCAACTAAAATTGTAAGGAGTCTAGAGGCTAAATTGTATGAAAAATGGCTAAAGGAACTAGATATATTTAGCTTAACAAAGATAAGAGTATGAAGAAAGTTGGTATTAGTCTTCCAATACTTAAATGGGTTGCCACAGGGAAGAGGATGTTGATTTATTCTCCATAGGACCTTAGGATAAGACAAGAAGCTTGTCAGAGGGAGATCCAGCCTGGAAATAAAGAGTTTCCTGATAATGAGAACTATTAAGCCATGGAACTGTTTGTCTCTTGGAGTTGTAGATGCTCACATCACTGGAGGCTTTCAAGAAAAGATTGGGCAACCATTTGTCCAGGACGATATGAGGACTCCTAACTTGGGAGGTTGGATTAGAAAACTTTCAAAGTTCCTTCCAACCTTAATGATTTTAGGTTTCATTCTATGGAAAAACAGACTGTAGAAATTCATTTCTCAGTTAGTTTCAGCTTTGTGAGATCTCTTCGAAGGAATGGTAGTGAATATTTTACTGCCTTGAATGAAAAAAGGTTAAATTTTATGATCACATACATTTGGGTTTGGGATGATTCCCTAGTTGTGAAATGTTACATTTTTATGTTGCTGTAATTTTTTTCAGAGATTACCATGTTTTTTAAAAGCTCAAATGTCATATATACTCAGTCTTTAAAATCCCACTTTGTGATGTTGTGACAAGACCATGTACAAAAAAGTCTCCCGAGTTGCATTTTAATAGGTTTGTGGTATCTTTTAAAATTTATCATAAATTTATATGTACAGATTTAAAATTTATGCCTAGGGACTTTAATATCACACAATTCATGTTCAGATGTCATTGGACATATAATTGTTTCCACATTTCACATTATGCTGTACTTTCAGATTCTACCATAAATCTTTTTTTGACCATGGCAGTTATTATTTCAGAATGATGCTAACACTGATTTATGCTAGTTCATGTTACTTTAATTTGGAGGTACTATTTCCAAAGCAAGCACTCTGATACTTGAAGGCATGAATATCCCATAGGTTTATTTTTTTTAACAATTCAATTGCCAGACTTTTGCAGAAAATAGAATGTTTTGCTGCAAGATAAATTAGATTCATGAAATTTATTTTTTATTTATTTATCAACCCATTGTGTTATCAAGATGCAATGTTTTGGATTGCAGTCTTATTGACATTAATAAATATCAGTATTTTGGAGAAAAACACAAATAAGGAAATTATTCAGTAACAGTTGGCTATACAACTCATACAATGTGATGCAACATTTGAGAACTTTAATTTGAAGTTCTTACGTATGTATGTATGTATGTATGTATGTATCTATGTATATTATTCAGCTTGTTCGGGTATTTTCCCACGTCATTATAGTTGTGCTTTTAAAGTTGTAGCAACATTTTGGCAGAATCTCATCTGCCATCATCAGGCTTCTGTATTGTGTTCGTCTGTGAGTCAGACTTTCACAGCCGTTTCTGTTTTAAATTTGGTGCTGGCCTACTGCTGTGCCAGAATGTTTTTTTCTTCATCCTGATTGGTTGGGAGTCTTGGTCTGTGTTTATTGGTTTTGGAGTTTGCTGTGTTCTGCTTGATTGGTGTTTCTAATATCTTCTGTCTGTTTTGTAGCTTTTTTTTGTCTTGAGATTGGCTGGCAACATTGTGTTTCCTGTATTGGAGGCTTTTAGTGTGGCTTGGCTCCGAGTGAACGGACGGCTATCATTTATTAGGAAGCTAGGTTTGATCTGGGTGCCTGGTTGGGGTGCGTTTGAGCTAGAGGTATCGGGGGGGAGGGGTTCTCTTTGTGCCCAGGTGTTTGCCTGACTAGTGGTGTGGAGATTTTTTTGTTTGTGAGTGCAGGCTTCCAAATAATTGACAGTCTGGTGGAGTCATCTCTTCTATTCATGCTTTCAGGTCTTTTTTCAATCTCCATGGCTTCTCTGATAATTCTGTAGCTGGGATTTTCTAGAGTGACTAGGGTTTTGGTGCCATTGAAGTCGATGCTATGACCTGTGGCTTTCATGTGTTGGACTAGTGAGGAAGTGTGTTCCAGATTCTGCCAAAACGTTGCTACAACTTTAAAAGCACAACTATAATGAAGTGGGAAAATACCCAAACAAAGCTGAATACCATGCATATAAATACCCATGAAAACTTAAGAAAACAAATATCAGACCTCTATGAGGAGGAAATAAACAGCCAGACCAAAACCTACGAGAAGCTGGAAGTTAAAAGAGCAGGAATACTATGTGACCTCAAATTCCTACACAGCTACAGAGACAACAATGCAACACCAACCTGCTTCAAATTAACATTTAATCACACCACAGCAGCTACTAAACGTATCCTGAAAAGAACTGAAATGGCTCTACTCAGGAATGAGCTCCACAGGAAGAGATTCCAACTCGATCAGTTAAACAAAGATCTCCTATCCCTACACCTGGAATTGAGCAACAAAATCCACCCTCTACTTTGGGACAGGATAAAACAACTTACAACTTGGAGAGCTATAATTGAAACCACTTAAAAAAATGACAAACTCCTGAAGAAACTAAAGAAATTAGAACATGACAAGAAAGCCCCCAACAACTCACAACAACACCTGAAACAATTAGTATACAATGTTTCCAACAGAGAACTTACCAAAACAGAAACAGATGTCCTAACCAAAGGATTCAATTATGCTATAGCACCCCAAAAAGTCCCCACAGAATCCATCATATGTGGAGTGGAATCCAGCCTAACTAAATTAAATACAGATGAAGCTGATAGAATAAGACACCAAGTTGCTAACATGCTATGCACAAGCAAACCACCCAAAAGCAATTTGCACAAAGAAGAACTAAAAGCCCTGCAAGCCCTAAGGAACGACAGCAGCATAATCATACTTCCAGCAGATAAAGGTAATGCCGCAGTAGTAATGGATAGAAAAGACTATGAAACAAAATTGACAGACCTACTCCAAGACTCCACATACAAACCCATAAACCCGGACCCAACCACATATCTGGAAAAAATAACCAAGAAGAATATTATAACCAGCCACATGAGCAAAGAGATCCAACAGATGATCATCCCAAGAGAAAAATCTTCCAGATGCCCCAAACTATATGGCCTCCCCAAAATACACAAAGAAGGCATTCCCCCTCAGACCCATAGTCAGTTCCAGAGGAGCACCACTACAAAACCTAGCCAAATACCCAGCAAAGCAGCTACAGCCCCACATGAAAACCACAGGTCATAGCATCGACTTCAATGGCACCAAAACCCTAGCCACTATAGAAAACCCCAGCCACAGAATCATCAGAGAAGCTATAGAGATTGAAGAAAGACCTGAAAGCATGAATAGAAGAGATGATTCCACCAGACTGTCAATTATTTGGAAGCCTGCACTCACAAACAAAAAAATCTCCACACCACAAGCCAGGCAAACATCTGGGCACAAACAGAACCCCCCCCCCCGATAGCTCCAGCTCAAACGCACCCCAACCAGGCACCCAGATCAAACCTAGCTTCCTGATAAATGATAGCTGTCCGTTCACTCGGAGCCAAGCCACACTAAAAGCCTCCAATACAGGAAACACAATGTTGCCAGCTAATCAAAACAAAAAAAGCTACAAAACAGACAGGAGATATTAGAAACACCAATCAAGCAGAACACAGCAAATTCCAAGACTAATAAACACAGATCAGGACTCCCAACCAGTCAGGATGAAGAAAAAACATTCTGGCACAGCAGTAGGCTAGCACCAAATTTAAAACAGAAACAGCTGTGAAAGCCTGACTCACAGACGAACACAATACAGAAGCCTGATGATGGCAGATGAGATTCTGCCAAAATGTTGCTACAACTTTAAAAGCACAACTACAATGATGTGGGGAAATACCCAAACAAAGCTGAATACCATACATGTAAGTACCCCGAAAAGTTAAGAAAATACACACACACACACACACACACACACACACATATTTCATTGCAATATAAGGGAGAGTTGTAAAAATGGAAAGTACTTTCATACGCTTGATTATAAACTCTGAAATAATTCAGTGGAACATTAAGTCTATCTTGCATTTAATGAATTTCTGTAATCAGAGATGGGGGCTTATTTCATCTCTATTAAAAGATATAGAAATAATAAAGTCAGTAGAAGTATGGCAAAGAACTCCATTTTGCTCTCTGGGTTTTTTTACTATTGTTTTCTTGGAACAGCATCACCCCGTGGGATATCATAGGGCTCTTGATATTCCACTTCCTTTAAAATGCCTTGCCATGTAGCATGCTAAATGCAGTCCTTTAGGCACATAGGGATATTTGTGAGCTATTCCTGCTCACGGTTCATCTGGTCCTTGGTTCTCTTCCCTTTGTGCAGTGAATTCAGCAGTCGATTATAGCAGACATATGTGTGTTTTTTTCTAAAAAATGTTTTTGCCTCTAGGCCGCTATCCACGGATCTCGATTTAAGGGGCAAGACCTGAAGTTAGCATGGAACAAGCCAGTAACAAATATGTCAACCGTGGAAACAGAAGATACTGAGCCAGATGAAGAAGAAGTAAGTGTACAAGGAGATGAAGGAGTGTGAACTTTGTTTGTTCTGGGACAGGCTACATCTTTTCTCAATCATAAATGTTTGAAGAAGGCATACTCTGGATTAAGAGAGGTGCTCACCCTTTTTACATTTAAGAAAGCAGTATCCCTTAAAGAGAATGCTATCTTAATAACAAATGGATATTAGGAAACATATAAACATGGCATTCACAGGTAGTCCTCGACTTAAGACCACAATTTGGACTGGGGCTTCCATCGCTAAGTGATATTGACATATAGTGTGATGTCATGTGATCATATATCTTAGTGACAGCAATCCCAGCAGTCTTGGTGGCCATTGTAACTCCCGACACATCTTTTCAGAAATGATAGATAATGGTACTAAATTGAAAGCTCTGAAATTCATAATGTTGGTATTTGTATAACGTTTTAGCATAGTTTTTTAAAATTGGAGTATGACCTTACTACTAGAATTGTACATTGTGGTGGTATGTATAGCGTTTATTGAAGTTACAACTTCACATTAATAAATCAAATCTAAATATTCTTATCCTGTATATATTGGTTCCTTATATTACAGTTTAGTTACAGTAACAAGTTATGTGAGAATATAATTTTTTTCTCTTCAATAAACTTATATACATAATAGATTTACAATCAAAGTTTCTTCAAGCTTTTAGCATGATTTGATTTCAGGTTTTTGCAAAAATAAAAATGTACCACCACTGCTAATAAAGTTACATATGAATATTAAAATAATCAGATTCCAGAAATATCAGTTGTGGGATAAATTATGAGTGCAGAATTCCACTGACTTCACCATAAATTTTATCTGAGTTGCTGTTCCATTGTCACATCATTTATTTTATTATTTATAATCTTAATCTCTGGCCTTTGTGTAAGCACCTACTAAAAGATGTATATTTCATCTTTGGGAAATTACTTTTGTAATTTTTTTTTAAAATTGACAATTTCCAATATTGACCATACTAGTATTTCATATGAATTGCAGAAAATCTACATGTATTTATTTAAATATTTTTCTAAATTTTATTTTTTTGTGATAAAGGAAATTTTGGTGCATTTAACACACCATACAAGATCAGTTTTCAGACAATTCAGGTTCTCTTCTCCCTTATCTTTTCCATAGAGTGTAAATTCATTTTCACAGAGATCAATCCTTGTATCTCAAATGTATAGAAAGATTATTAGGCAGTGTGACTTCCAAAGGTGTGCAACAACCTGACTGTGAGGATATAAATTGGAGAATTGTTTCCCCACATTTTTCATTCACCTTTCCATATACCACACTTGGAATACTGTGTCCAGTCTTGGTCACCATGATATAAAAAAGATGCTGAGACCCTAGAAAGGGAGCAGAGAAGAGCAACAAATGTGATTAGGGGACTGGAGGCTAAAACATACAAAGAACGATTGTAGCATGTCCAATGTAACGAATAGGGAGGACAAAGGGTGACATAACATTCTTCCAGAACAGAGAAGAGGGGGTCCAACCTATTCTCCAAAGCACCTGAAGGCAGGACAGATGGAAACTTATCAAGGAGAAATCAAAAAGCTAAACAGAAATTTCCTAACAGTCAGAACAATTAATCACTGGAATGGCTTGCCTCCAGAAAATACGGTGTTCTATCGCTTTTTAAGAGGAGATTGGACAACTATTTGTCCGGAATAGTATTGGTCTTCTGTTTGAACAGAGGGTTGGATAGAAGACCTCCAAATTCCCATCCAACTCTTATTTTGTATTCCAAAAAATATAATAGTAGTCTTAGGAATGCTATATTGCTTTTCCCTATGGATAAATACACAGGTGAGATGTCACTGAATTTATATAATTTCGTTTATATAATATATAAAGTTTCTTTCTTTGGTGCACCCATGCAGAAGAAGTCTTGAAGCTTCACGTAGGTTTGGACGTATTTTTGCCCTTCTCCTTTGAGTCATGCTTTAGATACCAACTCTTTGACTGTGAAAACCTAAATAATTTGGTCATTTGGGTAAATTCAGTGATCGAATCTGAATCGTTTTTTAACATTTCGTTATTCTACTTACACCAGCATAACAGCTTGACAAAAATAATTGAAGCACACACCCCCTCACCCCACCCCCCAAACACACACCAAATATTCTTTGGTGTCCAAAGATCTCTTTTCAGTTTGAATGAAATAAATGCAGGTAGTCCTTGACTTACGACCACAGTTGAGCCCAAAGTTTGTGTAGCTCAGCGAGGCAGTTGTTAAATGAATTCTGCCCCATTTTACGACCTTCCTTGTCACAGTTGTTGAGTGGATCACTGTAAAGTTTGTAACACGGTTGATAATTGAACCTGGCTTCCCCATTGACTCTGCTTGTCAGAGAATCTCAGGACACTGCAACCATGATAAATATGAGTCAGTTGCCAAGCGTCTGAATTTTGATTGCATGGCCGTGGGGATGCTGCAATACTCAATTGTTTCAGTGCCGTTGTAACTTCAAGCAGTCACTTAATGAACTGTTGTAAGTTGAGCATTACCTGTACTAATGATGTTTTTTTTTTTAAAGAAAAAAGAAAAAATGTGTTTGCCTATCCTTTCAAGGTGCAGATTTGCATAATCTCATATTCTAATGGATGTGTTTCTTCCAGCAGAGTCTTATTAAATATTTCTTTCAGTTTCAGGAAGAATCCTTGGTAGATGACTCATTGCTTCAAGATGATGATGAAGACGATGATGACAATGAATCTCGTTCGTGGAGAAGATGATTCGACTGATCAGAGACAGCGCTAAAGATTTAGTTACATTGCATTAACATTTCCTAAAGAACTTTTGAATATTTGTACTACAAGACAATTGGATGGAAAGAGGTGGATGATTTCAGATAAGAAACAAGCAGCTGATTGATCCTGTATTTTGAGTGATTGATGTTCAGGTTGCATTTACATTTCGGTAAATGATTGCTACAGACATCGTATTAGGAACATATGCAATGTTTTTATTCTATGGAAACATTACAGAATTCTTTGGATTCTTTGTAATTTAAAAATAATTGGTCACGCATCAAAATGACCAAGCGTTGTTATAACATAGAATATTCTTTGTTTGTTTGTTTTATTCCAAGTATGGAATGAAAATTTGCTTTTAAGATCTTTGTGAATGTTTTCGGAAATTATAGATAACAGTACTAAACTGAAGTCTCTAAAGTTATGTATTCATAATATTGCATAGTAGTATGCTTAGGCTTTACTATGTACTAGCCTTTTGTTGGATTTGTGACCGTATTTTACGTATGAGTTTTAACGATACAGTGTATGACTGCTTTGCATATATCTCTTTATCACCTTAAGATGTTAAAAAAATAAAGAAATGGAATGGTCTTGGAAAAGAAAAAAGAAAAAAAAAAGCAATAATAATGAAATTATACCCATGGCCCATGATAATGGCAGGGAAAAAATTAAAAAGATTAAAAAAAAAATTCCAAGAGACCATTCCAAGTGGCAAACCCAACCCCCCAATCGTCAAGAAAAGAGCTGAATCACTGTCATTTTTTCACTTCATAATGAATAAAACAATACAGAAAACAAGGCATTGAAGCCATATCCTCAGTTTACATATATATATTTATATATATATTTAGTGCGCTAAAATCTCTCAAAACACACTTTAAACTGCTAAACTGGCAATCTAACGTCAGATGGAGTTCATGCATTGAAGCAAATCTTCCTTGTGCCCGGCGAATCGAAGAGAATGTTCTCCTGCGAAGAAGACTTGAACTTAAAGATATGTAATAACATGAGTTGCAAAACTGGTATGTATTGTTTTTTAGTTATTAATCGCTTAAAATAGTTCAAAGAATCCAAATAGCCTTTCCTATCGAAACAATGGATAGTTTGAAGCTTTTTAGATCAAGTAAACATAATTTATCCTAATTCTGTTAAATGTTGTATTTGTTAAACTATGTAAGCAGGAAGTTGCTCTCCTTTGCTCTTTACTAAGGCTTTTTGATTTGTATTTTATATTATAATGACCCTGACTTGAGTTTGTCTTATTTGATCTGTTTATTACCTTCTTCCGAGAAGGTGCCAAATTATATAGAGTAAGAGGGATGATAGCATTTAATATTGGATTGGATCCTAAAACAGATTATACAAATTTGGGGGCAAAGAACCCTGCTTTTCTGCTACAATTTCCAATATCCTCTTTCCTATATAGTCCAGGAATATTTCTTGACTTAGTCATAGTACTTTTTCTAAAGATCATAAGTAACTAAACTGGAAGGAATAGAATATACTTCCATTAGTTTCCTTAAATTATTTTACTTAGATTCCAAGCCATCAAATTTTGTCCTACTATTTTGTATATCCAAAGATGAGAATTTTAAAGTGCTGTATAATAGTGATCTTGCTGAAGCTAAACAAGAACAGGTCTGAGCCTTGATTTGATGAGAGATCTAAGAATCTTGCCTTTGCCAATGCTTTAAGAAAAGTTGGCTCATATTTAATAACTCTAATTACAAAAACTGATGTATTTCATAGAATACATTGAGTGTTTCATTATAAGAGACTATTTCTGTTTTCTTTTAGGCAAAAGAAAAAAGGGACCATGTGTAATCTTCAATATTTCAAGATTTACACTGCAGACTGAAATACAGTCCAGCATTCTTAATAGAAGTAGGTTCTAGAATCCCTTAATTGATTTTTTTAATGGAATCTGATCCATAGATTGCCAATAACTAAGGTGTTACATTGTTAAACAGTTTAACAGATCCTGAGTTACCTCTTAGAAGTTATCTCATTCTGGCAAGAGATGAATTTAACCACAGTTCTATAAAATTTCAGAAAGTGAGAGATGTATGGTCTCTTTATGGAGCAATGAAAAACAAACACACACCATGATAAATGACTACTTGGACCTGAAATGCCTCTATGTTTATTTCTTGAAGTTTTGAATGCTTTTAGATGCTATATTTGCTGCATTTTATTGCAAACAACACTGAAATAAACAAGACAGCAATATAAGATGTTTTTGTTCTTCAGGTAATTTCAGCACAGAAGTACTAGAAAGATTCAACTGCAAAATTTTCCCATAATTTGAATCTTCCCCAAGCAATGTTGGGAAAATGGTAGTCAATGCAGCTTACCATTGGATAATTTAGGCTGCATTATCCCAGAAATGCTGAACCAAGCATTTGCTTCAACATTGCAAACAATATTTTGTTTTAATTTTTAAATGAATGGATGGCCATATAATGCTTTGCTCCTGGAAAAAAAAGCCTGAAAAAGGTAGGCTTAATTTTAAATCAGGTACGTATAATTATATATCTTTTGTGGGAAAATGGATTGTTTTGAAAGCACAGTAGTATTAAGCAGCATTTATTGACAGTTTGTCATAATTATTTATGTCAAGGACAAATACAAGTAGTCTTCAACTTACATCAGTTCATTTAGTGACACTTCTAAGTTAAAACGACACCAAAAAAATCGACTTACGACTAGTTTACTAATGTTGCTAATTTTCTTCTCAAGAGTTGTCTTATCCAAGTTAACATCCAAATGAAAACAAACATGCACCCTTAAAAATAGCCATTTGTTAAATGTTTGAACCCTGATTGGATTTTTTTTATTTTTTGGATCCAATTAATTGCAAAAATGTTTTGGTACCTTCTTAATTGAATCTCTGGTACTCTCATTAACCCAAACCTTGAACTATTGCTGAATTAATGATTATAGGTTGAGGACGACCTGTAACAATAATAAACAGCACTGAACGTTCAACTCATCAGGGCTATACAGTGTGTAAGATTTGGAGGAAAAAATATTTTTTAGAGAAAGAGATTAATTTATTTTTAAACTGGAAGAAGAAAGATCCTAGAGATATATATACGTATATACACCTGCAGACAAAAATAAGGTGACAGATTGTCTGTCTGTCTGTCTATCTTTTACCTTTGTTTATTTAAATATATCTGTTGGCAGTTTCTTGTCTTTTCACATGAACATATTGCAGCCATGGAGGGTAGCTATGTGAACCCAGAAAAAGAAATAGTTCCCATAAGGAGTTGCTGGTAAGTAGCCATTTTGTTCCCCCCCATGCTCTTTGTCCCCTTTGAGCCCAAAGCACGGCACAAGCCGGATTAGTGATAGCAGTTCACCAACTTTAAACAGCAGTGTGATAGAAAAGCAAACATTTATTTTATGTTATAAATTTATTATAGAGTTGGAATTATATCGGCCGATTGTAAATGGCCTACGGTAAAACTCTTGACATGCCACATTTTGAATCAGGTGGTTTTTGATCCATCTTTAAAGAGATTTAAAAAACACCATTAATCAAGTTCAGTTACAGTTTATTACAAAATGTGTTTAGCAATCTGCTTTTTTTTTTCCTTTTCAGTCTTGGGAACCACCTTTTTCATTTTGCTTATTTAATGCTAATTTACCTTACCAGGAGTTGCTTGTTTTAATTCTAATAATTTTTATTGTATTATTTTCTTTCAAAATACCCAGTTCTTGTTCAATGCACAAAAGACACAACTATCATTGTTCATAAACCTTTTCACAATATCTTTAAGGGGAGGAAATGGTAAAGTTATACTGTTATTAGAGTTTTTATAAACTTCAAAGTCTAGCATATCTGGCAGTTGTATTTTACTAGCTTGATATAAAAATG